GGAACTCCAATTCCTACTACGACTACACCGCCGGCAAAGGCCGAAACAAAGGCAAGGACAAAGGAAAGCAAAGGGAACAGTATCCAGAGGAAAACCTCCGGCCCTGGGACCGCGATCCTGCGACCACGCGAAGATGGAGATGAATCAACGCTTGGTCTTCCTCGCCTATCAGTTCGTGACCTCTGAGCTTCGCCCATGGAATGCCATCGCGAATGCTTCTTTCTTCGGTGACGCCTGATTCGTTTGCCATTTCAGGGGATCGTTACTGACGTAGATGAGTGTCACAACGTTTCTAATTGGGATGCAAAGCTCTGATTTTCAATGTCAACGTTGCGGCGGAACATTTTCTGTTGTCCTATCGTGCCATCTTCCGGGTGAGCAGCGTCGGAGACGCAACTCATGGGGGGTGCGAACGGACTGCGATGCCTTGTCAAGTTCTAAGGTGTCACTATAAGAGCTGTGAGCAAGACCGTGTAAAGTGCAAGAGAAGGGGGCACGCTACGCGTCCCTCGACTCTAGGAGTAAGCTTGTGGACGTGCTACGCACACCGCATCGCTTCTCCTTACCTTTCTATGTGACCGCCCACGCAACGTTTGGCTCAAGTCAATGCCCATAGCTAAGTGCTATATGTGTCTTCTATCCTGAGCAATCAGAGCTATCCCGTGCACAGACGAACCGCCGCCGGCAGCGAGTGCAAAAGGAACGGCCGCCGGTTCTGCCTGCATAGGATTGCACGTGTGGAAGTGTGAGAGAGACAGGGTCCCAGTCTGTGGAGAGTGCAAGCCAGCCACACCTATATTCATTACAGCTCTGGTGGGGAGAGCAGCAACATAATCGAGATCAAATCCCCACGCAATATATATATTAACATATCATATCATACCATATGATGTTATATATATATATATATGATATTATTTGCTATATATCAAAATTATATCTATTTTTCCCCTTTTGCAGGCTGCCCTGGCTTCGCTGTCGGGAGAAGCAGAGTGCGCCATTTGGAGCCGGCCCTCGCCTCGGGCACTTTCGGGGGGAGACTTCAGATCCGTAGTAATTTTAATAATGAAAATAATATAATACTACTACTACTACTACTACTACTACTACTACTACGACGACTACTACTACTACTACTGCTACTACTGCTAATAATAATAGTAATAATAATAGTAATAATAATGGTAATAGTACTAACAACAACAATACTAATAAAGATACTGATACGTTTAATAATAATAATACTAATACAAATAATACTAATAATAATAATAACAATAAAAATAATAATAATAATAATAATAATAATACTAACAGTAATAACAATATCTAGCTTTGAAGATCCGAGGCACCAGCCTTTCCAGTGCCTCGCGAGCACAGACAGCGGAGGTGGTCCCGGTTTTGTCAGGGCTTGGACTCTGACCGCTGGGTTTATAGGGTTTGGGTCGGATGGTTCGGGGTTCACAGTTTGTGGGTTTTGAGGAGTTTGCTGCTACGATGTGCGGAAGATCGCCTCCAAGGCGCTCTAACACTCGGTGTCGGTGGTGTTTGTGAGCCCTTCAGCCCCTTGACGATCCGTGTGAGGCCAAGGACCAGGTGCTGTGGACTTTGATGGCACATGACGTGGCTTGCACGAGCATCCAGGACCCTTGCATCTTTGCTCACAGCAAACAAGCTGTTTGGGTGCTTGTTCAGTGGGCGTCATCTTGTATGACGGCATGGCAGGGTTGGGTGTTCTGAAGCTTCAAAGCATGTCAATGTTTTGGAAGGTCCAGGATGTTGGCAGAAGCTCTTGGTGGGAATGCCAGGGTCTGTATTTTGGTTTGGCAACTGCTCTCTAGTGTTGCTCTGAACTTGAAGAACGACGAGTTGTGTTCAGGATTCAGTACTGAACTACCCATAACTACCCAGCCATTTCGGAGGCTCTGCAGCAACTCCTCGAAAGTCCCTGATATCCTCGGCTGGTTTGGGGAACAGGCTTGACTCCTACTGGACCGCAGAGGGCAAAGGCTACTCTTGATCATGACGAAGTGCTGCGACCGGATTCCTTGAGGTTGAGGGCTTTGACCTCTGGGTATGTTCGAGATTTGCGGGTGCTACAGTGAGGTTCGGGGTTCTGCAAGTTTTCGGACATGTTGAATGAGACGTTCTACTTGGTTCACAGCTGGCGGCTCTTCTGATGACAGTGCTGTTGTTCGACGCATTTTCCGAACTTCCTGCCTGCCCCACTACTTCTTGATGACATGGCGGAATTAGAGATCTTCATACTGTGGCCTCGCAGTGCTTCGTAGGCCTCAGAGTGCCAGGATGCACCCGCTCCGGGCCTCCTGGTCACCGCGGGTCTTGACGGCCATGCCAAGGCACGGAAAGGGGGGCCGGGACGATTGAAACGATGGAAACGAATTGGCTCCTAAGCATCTCCCTTTGTCGTCATTCTGCACATCTCAGGTGTGGAACATCGCAGGCTCTGGCCCGCAAATGGTTCTGAGCAAGAACTTGCACGCGGGCCCGCTCGAGCCTCAGTTGGAGGCCAACTGCCACAATAACCCGACCATGCTGCTGTAGAAAATCTGAGCTGTGTCGCACAAGAGTAAGACGGCCTGCCTGCCGATGCTGGTGTTGGCGGTTCTGCTGGCGGTGGTAGCGGGTGTGGCCGTGGTCGTGCAAGTAACCGTAATTTCTCGCTGTCGCAGAGACTGCCAGCTGCTGGTGCTGGTACAGCCGCTTTTGCTGCCTGTGTTGGTGTTTCTTGGCTGTTCATTGAGCCGTCCTTCTGGACCTTGTCGTTGACACGACAGCTCTGCGGAGCTTGCGGGAGTTGCCGTTTATCACTGCACTTTGGTAGGCCACCGAGTGAATAGTACTGGTAGCGGCAGTTGTTTCTGTTGCTGCCTTGCCGTCGTCGTCGTTGTCCTCGTCCTATCATCCTCGTCGTCGTAAAGTCAAGGTCGTCGTTGTCGAAATCCGTCAGGGTTAGCTGCGCTGATCTGCGCCGAGGATATTTACCTGCCAGAGCAATCCGGACATGCCTGGCCTCATGCGTCTGGCTCAACGTCTCTGCAGGCCGGTAGTTGTTCCCCCCTGATTGACCTTTTCCAGCCCAAGGTGTTTCGGTGGGAAGTGCCCAGTGATGTGGGACTTATCTAGCGAGCAGATCCTCTTCGATGTGTGAGAACCTCAAGAGCACTTGCTTTTTTGCTTTCGATTGGTGCCAACTCGCCATCGGAAACTCAGGTTCAAGTTGGATTCCAGGTAAGAGGGCGACAGCAGATTCCATGTGAGCCCTTTGTATGTATCCGTAGAAAGAGACAGTCTTCGAACAGCAGACGTACATGGAGCCGATCCTATGTAGCTGGCAGGAGCATCAGATAAAGCATATAGCAATGTGCCGTGCTCGTCCAAGACAGCACTGCAGTAGCGGTTAAAGCACTGCCTCTTTGGCAACAGGGCATTCCACCAATGCCCTGCACCGATCTTTGTGAGAGCACTCGCTCAGCCTCTCATCGTCTCTGTGCAGCTTGAAGTCCAGCCAACATCCGAAAAAGGCAGTCCTGCAAAGAGTCAGGTTGGGGAGGGCTCGTACACTTTGCGTATGGCGGAAGTTGGGAGCCTCATTCCACGCAGGGCTTGTTTTGCTTCAAGGGTTCTTTTCGGGTTCCTGCAAAGCAGAGCACACCGGTAGGAATAGTTGTGGCACATGTAGAGAAATGGTTGCAGTTGCAATTAGCAGTTGTGCTTTGGGCCTGGTGGTAGCAGTAGCAACCTTGGTGTAAGCTGGCGCAGTCCAGCAACAGTTGCACCTGTGACTGTGAGCTTGTGCTGAACCTACTGCCGGAACCTCCAAGGAAAGTAACACCCCTTGTCGTATGCTTTAGGATGGTCATTCAACCATGTTGAACTGCCACATGATCCAGCCCACTCTGAGCCCAAAATGCGCAAGCCTTCTGCCAACATGCATGATGCTTGTGTCGTTCGGTGGTCGTTTGTCCTTTCTATTGCTGTGCTCGGCTCAAGTAGCCAGTTTTCCCGTGCAATAGAAATTGATCCCAGGGTGGCGCAGGACCCGACCGTTCGAAATGGTGTCTTCGTTTGCAAGTATTTCGCAGTTTTGACTCCCGTGACAACACCATGAGCCTCGCCGCAGAGTCTTAAGTTCACAATGTGCAGGACACTTCTTGACTTCCTGCAGAATGTGTCTCATAAAGGCATTTGCTTCCTATCCAGAACGCACCCTGCACCCTTACTAAATCCGGAATACCAACCTCTAAGCAGCGGAGCCGGCACCGCAAGGAACCTGAGCGCCCTTCTGACTTTTCATGTCTGTCTCTTGTTATTAAGCAGTATGAGCCAGGAGGCCATGCTCGGAGGCGAGGCGCCTCGCACCCGACCAAGCCGTTTCGCTTCACCTGTATTTGATGATACTATAGCAGAATATTTTATACATGTACAGGGAAGTTACGAGATCAAGGATCAGCTTCCTATAATTTAGTGAGGCAGCCAAACGCGGATTTCATGCCTGCCAGCGTGTGTACATGCACAATTGACCACATGCATACAGCAATGCATATGGGTGGTTGTCAAAGTTGGGTCCCTATACGGCACCGATTATTTCGGGTACCCCAAAAGGGACCTTAATTTTGAGAACTACCCATATGCACAGTTGCATTCGTACGCACATGCATACATGCAGACATACATGCATGCATGCGTGAATGCGCATTATTATCTACTTACTCTCTACCTCACTCTCGCGTCATGTATCGATATGTTGAGGTATGTGTGTGTATATGCAAGTAGGTACTGAATATCCACCTGTTGCAAGATGTGCCCATAGCATGTTGACGTGTCCGATACAAGGTCCCAGTCATGGCCGTCGCAGAGCAGGCCAGCGCAGTCAAAGCGACTGCAGCCAACTCTTTCTGCATGGCCGAGCGTACATCTGGCGGGTTTCGAGTTGCCTCCAAGTTTCAGGTCTGCTGACATTGGCTGCTGCCGTTGTGATGCTAGCTCAGTGTGTAAAACATGCCACGGCCCCAGTAGATGCTTTACGCTCTGGCATTGCTGCTGGGTTGGGAGGGGCACATGTTCTTGCCTTGCCGTGGTTCAGGTAGAAACATTCATGATGCCTGCCCCTGTTGCGTCCTGAGTGGATTTGCCTGTGCGCCTCTGACGGTGGAGCGGAAGTGGCGACTTCCGGCTTTTAGAGGAGCAGTTGGTGAAGTTTCTGTAGAGGCCAAGTCGGTGCCGCCCCGTGCGCATTCGATGTCTCCGGCTCCTGCCTACAGCGCAGGCCCCTTGCTTGTCTTGATTGATTACCTCGGAATGCTTTTGGAGATCCACCAAGTCTGGTGGCCAGCTCGCATGCTGAGGACAGTCGGTACTGGTCGGGCAGTGGGAAACTCATTCTCCCGCCCGTGCCTCTGCAATTGAGAAGCTGCATGCGTTTGCGGCTTCAGCACAGGTCGATTTAAAAGTCAGTATATGTCTGCATGCCACTCATGGCACTGTGGGCATGTTGCCTGACAAGCGAGCGATGCTGTGTCATAAGATTGCTGAACAGGCTCGCCCGGCACGGACGGCTCGAGAGGTGATTGCACATGGTTTTTTCAATTCGAGAAGGACGGTTGTTGACTTCGCACCACTCGGACAGGCAGGCACCGTGCTCAAGGTGATGCTCGGAGTTCCCAGCGCGTTAATGCTGCAGTCGGCTTAGCCGGATCTCTTTGTATGTTGGTCTGCGTTGGTGCCATGTTCAGCGGGACAGTCGGCAATGAAACTGAGCGAGGGTCGCTATCTGGCCTCGTGTGTAAAAGTTTGCCCTCCTTGGAATTAGAAAGCCTACTTCGCTGACCATGATGCATCTCGACTGTTGGAGTTGCTGAATTTGTCATTGTCTACAATGATGTCTACACGTGAGGGTTGGACGAGGGATCGGGAGTTTCTTCAGGTTCAGCACGTTCATGGTGCTGCGTGGGTACAAGCAAGAGGTCGGAAACGGTCCGGCGCCGAGCCGCCTACGTAGATGTCGGTTCTGTCCGTGGTTCCGGGCAACAGGTGACGAGATGCAGGAGAGATGGGCAAGCTTCGCGAAGAGGCCATGTCATTGCAGTTTGCATCTCCTCTCGAAGCCCGAAGTGCAAAGAACTCCTTTTCTTCTGCCAACTGTTGGCCTGGCTATGGGAGGCCGAATGCTCGCTTCATGTCCCTCATGGCGGGGGCTGCGCGGGTGGGCCTCATTGCCCTGCGCGCGAAGTTCACGCGCGCCGGCTCCCCAGTTCGACGGGGAGCTCGGCTCAAGACATTTTCGTTTCATACTTCTTGTGGCTTGTTCGAGCTACGTCAAGCACCGGCACTGGAGATGAATGAAATCTCGAAGAGATGCGAATCTACTATTATGCAGAGAAGAGCACGGCAAAGTTCGGAGATGCCTTGAGATGCGTTGACTGTTTCATCCAGGACGAAGCAAAGAAGCCTCCACCTGAGCACACGTTGTGGCTTCCGTACTCGATCCTGTTGTGTGTGTGTGTGCGCGTGTTCCAGAGAAGACGTTGGCTGCACGATGTCATTTCGCTTCGATGAGGTCTGCCATCCACACCAAAGCCGGCAAGAGAGCCGTGACAGTGCTGCTGCCATGCTTATCCGTTTGGTTCAGAGCTTGCAGAGTACACAGTGGCAAAAGCACGCCAATGGTTTTAAACAGTTTCGTCGCCTGGCAGCAGCGGTGAATAGCGGCCCATGTTGTCGCCCTTTTGGGCTCCTTGCTCGCCTTGTCGCTTCCGCTCCCGGCAGGAACTGGTGAGACTTGGCCCCACCTATGTGAAGCTGGGACAGATCCTCTCCTGCCGTGAGGATTGGGTCGTCCTCCATAGACATCGCCTTTTGTCTCTTGATGTCTCTTGTGCCTGGAAGGACCTTGTGCGCAAGGAGTGCGACCGATCCAGTAGCTTTGCATGATTGCGTCATTATGCAGTCAGCCGCGATTGCGTTTGCGAATTCCTGGCTGAAGTAGAATGTGCTCGAGCGATCTCGTGCATGGTCTCATGTGGTAATGTGGCCATCCACAAACAGAGCCGAACCATGTGCATCGATGAGTTCTTCACTCATGTGCTGGTTTCTCCAAGCCGTACGCTGAGCTTCGGGGCAGTATGAGAACTCAGCAAAGAGGGCATTGCCTCGGAAGCGGGTGTAGTGTGGGCCCGGCTGCAGAGCTGGGAGTCGATGAGCCCAAGCTCTGAATGTGAGACGCCACGGAATCTCAGGAGACGGCTTTGTGCTTTCACACGGAAGCTCGCTATTATCTGAGTGCTTGGGAGCAGGCTGCGACTTGAGTCTGCGCTGCAAGTCCTGGCCAGCGGCAGGCGCGGGCGCCGCCACTTCGGGTTTGGAAGCTCGAATCCTCGCTTGCCAGGGCCCGTGCGGCTTATGGCCAAGAAGGGCTCAGAGCGCTGCAGCAGTCTCTGAAGGTGAAGCAGAGAGCAGAGAGAGGGAAAGAGGTAGGGGCTCTGGGCTCGGCATTTCTCAGTTCTCCCTGAAAAGGAGGCGGAGCAGCGCTTGGCCCTGGACTTCCGCGAGGTGCAGGCACCGAACTCCACCTTTGGAAGTCGAATCTTCCGAATCGCGACCGTGTTGGCGAAGGAGAGCACCGTGGAGCATGCGGCGATGTATGCTAAGAACCCGGAGGTGGCATTCTGCGAATTGAACACACTACAGTACATGTCAGCGGTTTCCCCTTGTGGCCTGTGAGGTCCTGGGAGGCATGCTCCACCTCGTGTTTTGTTTGGATTTGGTTCACCAGTGGGTGCAAAGCAGAGATGACCAGATCAAGGCCGGGTTCGCTCCCTTCCAGCTGGGAGCTTTCAAATCTCAGCGACTGCAGGAGATGGAGCAGAACCTGCAGAAGGCTCAGCAGAGCATGGTGCAGTTCCAAGCTCAGGCAACTGCCGAAAATTCAGAGCAGCGCAGGACGAGACGTTGTCTCCAGGTGCACCAGCCTTATGGACCAGTTGAGCCTGGACGTGCGAAGCTGCAAGGAGAGCCTCGCTGTCAAAGCCTTAGAGGATTTGTGCCGGACTTCTTCAGTGTGTCGCTTGTCCGCTTTTTTTCATGAGTATCTCTGCAGCCACGGGCTCGGGCCAAGCATGCCAAGCCGCAAAGCGTAGCAGCCTGCTCCTAGTCCCCGATTCCCATCGTTTGGCCCTGGAACTCGTGAGCCAAGGATCCCAATACCCGAAGCAGTCTACTCCTCCCTCTCCCTGCAATGCGGCACAGCTGCAGACAAGCTAGCCGTAGGTTGGCCAGAACACACACAGGACTGGTATCAGGCGGAAGAAATCTGTCTGCGTCCGCATGCAGCCTCAGCGTCTCGGATACCAGCGCCACGAAGGCTCCCATGCATGCGGGCATCTCCAGTCTTCAGTGCAGCTCTTCAGCCGGCCGAGGCTGAAGATTCCTTCGCGTTCGCCGCCGTCAGCGCCGCAGGGCACCGAACTCAGGACGGTTGCTGCATCCGGCACATCAACCCACAGAAAAGCCACCAACAGACATCAGTCTCCAAGTTCGGAAAGCTTCTGAAGCCATGCTTCGCATCTAGCTAGCTGCATCGTCGAGGTGCTGCACAAGCCCGGTGACGTACTGATCGTTCCCCCCTGGTGACTACAGAGCACCACCCTGGTCTCCTCGACGAAATGACGCAAGACGTCATAGATGCCGCTTGTCTCTTGAAGAGCGGAACTGTTACTGATGCTGTTTGTACACTCGGCATGAGAGCGTTTGAGGCCCGAGCTGCGCAAGGCGACTTGCCGCAAGCGGATCCATCGCGATCGCACTCTCTTTTTGCCAATGTGGGGTCAACTGATGCAGCCGCATAATTTGCCGTGTTGCACAATTAGAAGACCGAAGAGTGGTGAGAGGGACGCTACGGCAGGCCGCAAAGCAAATCGCTTGTACATTGATTGATCGCCTTTGTGTACCTCTTCGACTGGAGTTCTGCTTGCTTTGTTGCCATCTTGGATCCATTCGCTGGTGTTGAGTTTTTCCTCTTCTCCATAATCCCGTGGTGGTTGCTGAAGGCTAGGAGCGCAGACCGTCGAATGATGCGGGCAAACCAGATCAGCTCCAACGTCTAGTCATATCGTCCTGAACTCTTTCCCCTGTGGCTTTTGTCGCTCAAGGCCATCAATTATTCAGTTTGAACAGCAAACCATTGAGCATGAACGCCAGCAGAAGCTTCCGTGCAACCGACCTAATCTACGATAGATTTTCAACAAACTAGAGGACATCTCACAGATGCAGCAGGTGCAGAGACCACCAGGAACAGCACAGAACACCGGAACAATCACAGAGTGTTTTGCCGCAACTCCCAGAACGGAACGGATGTGAGGTAGGCCATCATCAAGCCTTCGTTTAACATCACTACAACATCCTTGGCAGAGGTAGTGGGTGGTCGAAATCAGGAGGTATTTGGTGGCCGCCCGTCTGCACCATAAAAACAGGAAAGGATGTCTGCCCACAGAAGTGGATCTGAGCGACGAAAGCTTGAGGAGTAGCTGGCTCAAGGTTTGCTGCTTCTCAGATCCACAAACCCTCCCCAGGCTGACAGCACTCTCGGAGTCCAGAGTGTCAAGCAGAGATCTGTACCCACGATATGCCGTCGCTTTCAAACCTGTGTCCTGCTTTGCACTGAGGAGCACCTGGGATGCACCTTCGGCGCAGGAAGCCTGCAATGACTGTGGGGCACCGTGCAAACGCGGATGGAATGCAGCCTGGCACTGCTTCGATGCACACTCCAACCCAGCTGAAGTTGCTATGCTGCTATAAGTTTCTGGAGACGCCAGATCTCAGGCACCAAATGGGCAGCGCTACTGCTTGTCCTGCTGGGAGCAGTGGCATGCCATGCCACCTCCCATTCCGGCAGCCTCAAACTTTGACAGAGGCGCACGAAGACCGTGGCGGAAGCCTCTTTCCAAGAAGCTGCTTTGCCAAAATAGCAGCATCGTGAACGTTCTTGACCTTGTCTTCTATTGCCTTCAAGGATCGATCTTGAAGTTTGCCTGTAGTAGATGGCAGCAGTATTGCAGCCTATGAGTCATCGTTGTCGGGAAGGTAGAAACTGCGAAGGCTGGCAAAGCGGCAAAAGCTCCCGCGAAGCTACGAGAAGCTGCGGGCGCCAGAAAGTTTCGGTCGGGTGTGCGCACGAAGAAACTGCTCCAAACACAGACAGTACTTTGTCGCCACAGCGCCAAAACATGCCAGAGAGCAGCCGGTGCTGCACCTGCGGCAGGGAACCGTGTATGCCACCAGAGACCAGACTTTGAGACTTTCTGGGAATCACTTAATTACCTGAATGGTTTCCCCTGAGACTGGACTGGCATAGGATATCTGTATGCAAAAAACCGAAGTTTTCCAGCAAATCAGCATCGATACAACCCGCAAAAATGCTAATTTAGCAGGACTGCATACTTCGATCTAGTACTCCACGTGCTTGAGTTCATTAAATTCCCAAACCTTCCGGACCGCGAACTTCCGAGACATTGTAAGGTATACCACGAGATATAGGATACCATAGCATGATGTACTATGTCGTAATAGACCATAATATATACGATAGTACACTTACAACTTACAATATACTACAATGTTCTATAGTATGCCATAGTATACTTTAGTTTACTGCAACATTATACAGCTTCTTCTTTGCCACAGCTGGTCACCGAGGCGAACCTTCAGTATCAGGGATGACTGCCCCTGCTGCACCCCTGGCGGAGTGCCTTTCGAGGCCTTGCAAAGGTTAGAGGTTTAGGACCGTTTAGGGTTTAGCGCCGTTCAGATTTTAGGGTTGAGGACCGTTTAGATTCTCGGGTTCAGGGCCGTTTGGATGCTTGGGTTTAGGGCCGTTTAGATTTTAGGGTTTCGAGTTCGCCATGGCAAGGCGCGTGTCTGCAGAAATACGGATGGGCTAGCAGTCTCATTGGAACCCTGGAACAGGCAAGCGCGGCGGGGGGAGGGCGGAAGGGGCGGGCGGGCGGGGGGACCGGTAACTCTACTGTTCGACGCGTGCAGCAAGAGCAGTCTCATTGGATGTCTGGAACAGGTTGAAGAGGCAATCTCGGGGGGCGGGGGTGGGGGGGGGGGCGGGGTGGGAGGCTAATAACGTCCGTGTTTGATGCGTGCAGCCAGACTACTTTTGTCATAGGGACTTCGGAAAACGCAAGCTCGGAGGCTGGACACGCACCTTTGGGTGGCGGGGGTGGTGGGTTGGGGGTGGGAGGTTAATAACGTCCGTGTTTGATGCGTGCAGCAAGAGCACTCTCGTGGGAACTCTAGAAAACGCAAGCTCGGAGGTTGCAAACGTGCCTTTTGATTGGTTTCGGGGGGTGGGTGTCGGTCACGTTCGCACTTATGTAGGCTCCAAAAAGCATGGTTCGGTCGGCTCTGGGCGGGCTCGGGGGGGGGGGGTGGGGTGAGGGCAGGGGGGTAGGGTGGGGTGGGGCGGGGGGTTAATAACGTCCGTGTTCGAGGCGCGCAGCAAGAGCAGTTTGTTGCGCTGTAAGACTTCGGGAGAAAGTTAAGGGGGAAAAAGGTTATTTACTGTTGCAGGACAGCGAGGCCAAATCCAACATGCCGGCAATGTGGAGGCTGTCTCCTCAAGGTGCCAGACGTTCATTGCTTCCAATTCAGATTTCCGCCGATCTCAGGTCGAGTTTCGTCTCTGAATGGTAGAGCACGAGTGCCTCGAGAGGCGGGGAAGCCGACGGGTCCTCTCAGTTATTTCGGGCCATTTCTAGGCAGCAGGGTGAGACTTTCGCAGGGTCTCGGCTCTCTGGCCGGACCAAGCCGAGGCTTTTTTCATCAAAGGAGTGGTCGCGCGTCACATCGCCACGGCAAGTTTTGTAAGGCAGATGCACAGAAATCGGTCGGCTCGAAAGGGAGAGGCATCCTGCGCTGCGTCCCGGGCTTTGGCTTCTAGCCAGGCGAAGCTTTCCTTTGTTTAAGTTGGCAGTTAGGATACGATAAAGCCGAGACGGCCTGCAGCGAAGGCCGACGAATGTGGAGGTCTCGGCTCTCTGGCCAGACCAAGCCGAGGCTTTTTTCGTCAAACGAGCTTTTGCGCGTTACAAAGCTATGGCAAGTCTTGTAAGGCAGATGCGCAGAAATCGGTCGGCTCGAAAGGGCGAGGCATCCTGCGCTGCGTCCCGGGCCTCGGCTTCTAGCCAGGTGCAGCTTTCCTTTGTTTGAGTTGGCACTTAGGACACGACAAAGCCGAGGCGGCCTGCAGCGAAGGCCGATGTTGCACACACACACACACACGCACAAGGAAGTGCATCTTTTCCGATTCGGACGTTGCCGCGATCTCAGGTTGAGTGCCGTTCTTCAACGGCAGAGATTACGATTTTAGAGAGGCAGAGATGCCGACGACTCGTTTTTCTCGCGGCGGAGCATGCGAAGGCAGTAGGGCGAGAGTTTTGCAGGTCTCGGCTCTCCGGCCGGGCCGAGCCGAGCTTGCGCTCGACGTACGTCTTCGGGCAGTGGTAGCGCGGCCCGACGCCATGGGTTCACATGGGACACCAAAAAAAAACATGCAGCCGCGCGATAAGTGCATGTGCTTCCAGTTGAGATGTTCGGCGAGCTCAGGTAGACCTCTGTCGCTCCAGGGCAAAGAATACGAACCCAGAGAGGCGGGGATTCCCGGGACATCTTTCTCTTGCGGCGGAACATGCGTAGTCAGGAGGGCGAGAGTTTCGCAGGGTCTCGGCTCTCTAGCCAGGTCAAGTTGAGCTAGCACTCGACATACATCCTCAGGTACTCGTTACGAGGCCTGTCTGCAGGGTCTCGGCTTTCTGGCCAGGCCAAGCCGAGGCAGCACTCGACTCACATCTTCACTTTCTCGTTGCGAGGCCCGTCGCCATGGCTTTGCATGTGCCTTTGAAAATACAAATTGGTAACGGCCCTAGCGATCTGTGCGCGGGGTTGCTGGATGGTCTGGCCAATTGGGTCAAGGCGCCGCCACACCTGTTCTGGGGGATTGGGCCCGCTCTGGTCGGCGTGCCAGAACTGAAGCGGAATCTCGGGCGTGCTCTTGGCACTGCTTCTGTGTTTCTGCAGCTCAGGGACAACGGACGCGATGTTGTTTGCAGAGTGTCCTGCCCTCCCTTCTTGCACGTGCACTTCCTGCCGCCACTGCTAACTTCCTTCGAGTGGGTCAAGATCGTCTGCGTCCTTTTCGAGCAAAATGACGAGTCGGAGGCCTTGGCGGTGCTCATGCACAGGGAGGTGCCGGAGCTTGCGCACGAGATCTGGGACGAAGTGTTGTGCATCGTACGCCATAAGCACTTTCACGTTCTCATCGTGCTGATTTGGCGAGGCCGCCTTGCCGTCGATCATCTACACCTGGTGGAAGCTTCGCCATCCGGGCGCGCTCCGCTCCTGTCGCTGACTGTGAACGACCATCGAGGCCACTTCGAAGCGCTTTTGGCATTGCGCGCGGAGGTTAACTGCCCCGACAGTCGTGGTCATACCCCTCTGGCTTATGCGGTCCGTGCCCGCTCGCCCGCCTACGCTGTTGCTACAGGCAGGTGCCTCGGTCGCGCCGGACACGGGATATTGCCCACTCCTGCTGTCCGTGGCTGAGAGTCAGCGTGACATGCTGCATATTCTGCTGCATGCCAGGGGCTGCCCTCATCGGCGTGCCCCATCAGGCAGCCTTCGCGGAATTTCTCCTTACGATTTGGCGTGTCAATGGGATGATGAAACGACTCTGCGGTCTTTCCGACTGCACGGGCACCACGCCGCTGGCTTGCACCCGCCGATCCTGCCCGTTTGTTTTTCCTTGAGCGGCACCGAAGTTGCCCTCAGTGAAGCCGGAGCCCAACACATTTCGGTGCTTGAGCATTGCCATCGCATGCCTTCGGTGGGGTTGGCTGCCGAAGAACACGATGATCGGGTTGCCATCACCTACGACTCTTCTTTGTCTGTGCGGGCTTATGCATTGGCCTTGCGGCGTGCTCTCATTGGGGGTCACCATGACTCGGCCGCTAACATCCTGGAGCGTTATCCCTTCTTGATCAACGAGCAGGAGTCTCGAGTGTGGGGCGAGCAGGGCCTTCCTCTTCTTTGGGCGGTCGTGCGACAGGAAGCCGGTGCCGTTTCCACGCTGTTACAGGCGCGGGCCTCTCCGAACGCAACGCCCGGTCACGCTGCCCCGTTGCTTCTTGCGGCCCGACATGGAGGAATCGAAGCGGCCACTATACTTCTTATGGCACGAGCAGACGTCGGTCACGTTGGTGCCGGCGGCCAGTGCGCGCTGAGCGCAGGGGCGGAGCGTCAGTCTTATCCGGTGGTTTTGCTTCTCTTGGAATTCCGTGCTCATGTGAGTCACGACCTGGAGGATCTTTTGCCGCTACTGGACAAAGCATTTTTGGGTGCTCGCAAAGATTTGGACCATTGCGCCACGCCGGCTCTATTGCTACGCGCCGCTGGTCTGCCACGTGCCGCTGGTGCCCTTCCGCACTCCGCACTTGTCCATGCCGTAATCTCGGACCTCGTTCCGCAGCTCGTGGCCGAAGGCCACTGGTTCGGCCTCTTCGTGCTTCAGTGCTGGGCGCATTCTCGGTCGGGGCTCGATTCGACGGCCGTCCCTGGCTGTCGTGTCGCTCTGGCTTCGGGCTCCTAATCGATGAGGCGTCGCTGTTGCCACACGAGCACGGAGTCTGTATCATACCAACAGAGGACCCAGTACAGTATGGAAATTGCGATCGTGCAGGCAGGTCAGAGGAGGGACTTCGTGCGGCGGCGCTGGGGTTTCTTCCGTGGTGTGCTTCTCTCGTTCAGGTCCTTCCTTGCCTTGTTGACAGAGAAGCACCCTGCTTTGGTCGCGATGGAGAGCTCCTGGATAGGCAGGAAACTATCTTGCCTGGTGGCGAGAAGAACGTCTTGGCAGCATTCTCAATGGCCAGGTGAAGCCGATGTTACGCGCGACCGGGACAGCAGGCTCCGTTGCTGTCTTGGTCGTCTCCAGGCAGGACCTCTGCGAAGCTGCCGACAGCGTCGACGGAGACTCCTAGTTTCTTTAAAGAATTCAGGAAGAACAGAGAGATCGCGGATGCAGAGGAGACGAAGTGCAAAACCTGGGCATCTCGTCGTCGGCCAGGCAGGGAATCGTCTTGCTCGCTCGCGATAAGAACGACTTGCCAGCATTCTGAGGTAAACAGCGGGGTTTCGTGACCGGGACAGCAGGCTCTTTTGCTGTCTCGGCCGTCTCCAGGCAGGATCTTTGCGAAGCTGCCGACAGCGTCGACGGAGAGTTCTAGGTTCCTTTAAAAAAAACTCAGGAAGAAGAGAGATCGCAGATACAGACGAGACGAAGCGCAAAACCCGGGCATCTGCTCGTCGGTCAGGCAGGGGACCGTCTTGCTCGCTCGCGATATTCAGGACTTGCCAGCATTCTGAGGGAAACAGTGGGGTCTCGGCTCCATGGCCATGCCAAGCCGAGTCCCGGGCTTTGGCTTCTAGCCACGTGAAGCTTTCCTTTGATTGATTTTGCACTGAGGACACGACAAAGCCGAGGCGGCTTGCAGCGAAGGCCGATGTTGCACGCACACACACACACACACAAGCAAGCGCATCGTTTCCATTCGGATGTTGCCGCGATCTCAGGTCGAGTGCCGTCCCTCAACGGCAGAGACTAGGATTTTAGAGAGGCAGGGATGCTCGTGACTCGTTTCTCTCGTGGCGGAGCACGCGAAGGCAGCAGGGCGAGACTTCTGCAGGGTCTCGGCTCTCTAGCCAGACCAAGCCAAGGTTGCATTGGACGTACATCTTCAGGTAGCGGTAGCACGGCCCGCCGCCATGGCCTCGCGCGGGACATGAAAAATGCATGCCGCCCAGCATCCAGAGACTCGATCTCAGGTGGAGTTCCGTTCCTGAACGGCACAGCAGGCGAGCCTAGAGAGGCGGGGATGCCGACGGCTCCTTTCTTTAGTTTCGGAGCATGCGTTGTTTTGACTTTAGGGTTCAGGGCAATGTACATTGTAGGTTTTAGGGCCGTTTAGATTTTAGGGTTCAGGTCCGTGCAGAATTTAGTGTTTAGGGCCGTTTAGAGTTTAGTGTTTAGGGCCGTTTGGAGTTTAGGGTTTAGGGCCGTTCAGGCTTTAGTGTTTAGTTTAGGGTCTAGGGCCGTTAGAGTCTGGGGTTTAGGGCCGTTTAAAGTTTTGGGTTTAGGGCCGTTTAGCGCTTACGGCTGCGAAGCTTGGGCATCGGATGTGCTCCTGTGAGTTTGGAGGTGCAGAAGGTGTACCAGCAGCCGCAGTTGGGTTCAAAGGACTTGTGAGGTCCTTACATGGGGATTTGGATGCGGTGCAGCGCAGAAGTGCCGAATCTTAAGATTCCCCTGGCTTTGCTTGGGGTGGGTGCACGCCGAGGCAGGAATTGAGTGACCTTTCGTATTGCGATGCCCATTGCCATTTGGATATTCTGCTGCACAACCGACTGAATGGCGGCTTCTCGGACTGCATAGTAATGGTAATAGTAATAGTAACAGTAGTCGTAATAGTAATGCAGGGTTGCCATGTGAATGCACAATTTCTTATACGACTACTTCTGCAGGCACTCAGTGGGCGACTTGGCTGAACAATCCTGTTGGCCTCTTGGGTGTTTCTTCGTCCGAGTCCTAGCTGTCGAGTCTGACTGACTTCAGGGCACCAAAGAGAAAATTTGCAAGCCACTGCTCTGCAACAAGCAAAGTCGTTGTGTTTGCATCGTTCAAAGTGTTTGGCCTATATTACCACATGGATGATGGTACCGGGTCACGTGACAGCGATGTGAAGCAATGCAATACGATATGCTGCAAGAAAGTAATCGAGAATAGTAACCTAGAAAAAGGAGTCAAACATCAAATAGCAAAGTCGTAGTGTACGATGATTTTTCTAGACGTTTCAGAATCGAGGAATTGGATCGCCAACCAGTGCTGGTATTACCAGGAGCCGTCCTTCATTTAGGGTTTAGGGTTCCGGAGAACTGTCTCTGAATGTTGTGCAGGTCCAGCAAACCTTAGTTGCTCTCCACAACGATCAGACGGTAGAGTAGAGCGTGAGTAGAGTGTCGCAGCATGTCAAAGAGGGGCAGCTTTGCTGGTGTGCACGATCTTTTCAGAATGCTTCACCCTGGTGATACCCAGGTGGCCCGCCGTAACAGGATTCAACAGTCAATTTGCCGGGTGGCGCTTCGTCCAGCCTGCTTGTGCAGATGTTCCAGTATGTAGCTATTTCGATTGAAACCTTTTGTAGCTGCCTATGGCCGCAGCGACTCCCGAATCTTGTTTCATGTACGGAGGTTGCGACAACGAGCTTCCCTGTTAGTTTGCGTGTAAGAATTTTTCAGCCAGACCCAGCTGGTGTGCTCTCTTCACTAGAACAGCATATGACGATGGTGGTTGCCCAAAGAGCTCGCACAGATGCGAGTAGCGAATTTGGCAAGGCAAAAGCACAGGTTTCAACATAAACCGCAAGGTTTGATTGATTTGGTGTGCCAAGGGCTAGGGTCAGCTGCTCTGCAGGACTGCCATTTTGCCCACGGAGAACAGGACTGCTGAGCCTGGAGTGGTGTGGGCTACACTGTGTGCTCTGCTAAACGCTGTGAGGAGCTCGAGCCTCGACGAATGTTGGCGCCGGAGCATGTGGAGCCTTACCTCTCCGAGCTCCAGCGCCTCTCGGATCCGGTGTTGTTCCGCAGTGGTCCGCAGGAGCCCGACAGAAAGCCGAGCTAAGGACGGGCAGCCAGACGCAACGAGCCCATGCTAAGGCGACTACAGATCACTACGGTATGCAGCTGTGATTTTGCAGGATGCTATTAATAAAGTTTTGCTGAGATGTCAGGTCCTTGATTACAAATTGCTGCGAACTTGAGACTCGGCATCCCAGAATGGGACCGTTATGGTCCAGAAGGCTTTCGTTGGATCCAGCGAGGCTTCTGCACGCTTGAGGCGCCCCCAACTGCCCCCAAAGCATGAAGCTTCAGTTGGAGCGTCCGAAGTTTTCCCCCCAATGCAGCCGGAGACAAGCCATGTTGTGTTCTTTCCCACATCTGTCCCCTTGGTAGATCTTGGTAGTATGCTTGGCTTACTGGGGCCAGTACTGCGCTTCGACAAGGATGTCATTGAAGACACAAAGCTTATCATCGACGTCGCAGAGAAGCTGGGTCTCGACTCGGTGTACTGCACAATTGGATGCCATCCGCATGACTACCGAGACTTCTCGGATGAAGCCGAAAAGCGGCTGCGTGCAGACTCCTGGCTCCAGGTTCCTTCGGTCCCGCGTTGCAGACTGGCCTATACTGGCCTAAAGAAGCGTGTTCTCTAATGAAATGCTGGCTCAGGAAATCCAAGCGTGTGGCCGAAGAGTGGTGGCGGTGGGGGAGTGCGGACTGGACTATTGGAAGAACTACGACGAGCCTCTCGAGTGCAGCTGGCACTCGGTCCTATAATCCGGTGTCTGTAGCCCTTCGCAACGTAAGCCTTGCGTTTCGAGCCTAACTGGATCCGCCATCCAGGGGAGCTTTGAAGTCTAAGAGTCGCATTTTCTGGTACACTGAAGGTCTTTGATACCTGCCGAACGGCAACAGATGTTGAACGTTTTTGCACGCCAGATCCGCATGGGGACGGCCTTGTCCTCAGCTTGTGCTGCCATTCTGGCGCGGGCGCGAGTGCTCTCAACACCGAGGATTTCAATCTTCCTGTAGTCGTCCATGCTCGTGATGCTGACGACGACACAATGCACGTCCTGAAATCTACTCTGCCTCGGGAGCACAAGGTTTACATCCATGCCTTTCAAGGAGGAACAGAATTCTTGGAAGAAGCGCTGAAGATCTTCCCCAACTGCATCTTCGGGATAAGTAGTATGGTCTGGTGCAGTGAGGGAGCAGAGCGCATCACGAAGAACTGTCCGTTGGATCGAATGGTTTTGGAGACGGATGCCCCCTACTTGGCGCCTCATCCTTCCGAGCCTTGAGCTTTAAAACATGGCAGGCAAGGGCAGGTTTGCAGATTCTTGCTACGTAGTAGTTCTCCAATCTGCTTATGTGGCGACTCAGGATATTCCGGAGCTTGCCCACAAAATTGCGGAGATGAAGGGCGAGAGCACTGCAACGGTTCTGAGGATCACTACAGAGGTGCCTGGTTTCTGAAGGGCACGCTCACTGTTAAGAGCTTTGCCACAGTTGCCGACAGGTCTGCCAAAGATTTTACGGCTTGTGGTCCCCATGGAGCACGAGAAGATGTGAGGGGGCGTGACATCCAGTTTCTGTGAGTGCTGACGCATATGTGGAAACATGGAAGAGATGCGAAACGGCGACGGTCCACACACTCAAACGTTTCAGACGGTGCTGTGCATGAATGTATATGATCTAAATGCAGATGTCGCATGTACGTATTTGTACATAGCAGCGAAGTATAAGAAATGTTTGTTACTGCGCTCTCTTCATGAGGTTTCGCACTCGACACAACTGGATCACATTGCTTTACAGGCTGCCAACACAGGACAAAGCTGCTGCGGTAGGTGGCCAAGATTATTGATTGCTGCGTTTGGGGCTTTGCCCCGAACGTGGGAGTTTGTAAATACCCGCCTGATTTGCTCTGCGAGCAAACGGGTTTGTTAGGCCGTTCGGCTAGAGTCGTCAGCAGCTGACACACTGCTGCGACGGAATATACCAAGCAGTGTCACCAATGATTGTAAAACAGGGGAGTGCGGCATTGCAAGAGTGGATGAGGGAACACTAGAAGATCTATGCTGTTGGTAAAGGTTCTAATTCTAAGCTGGACTGAGGCTCTTGAGAGAGCATCCAGAGATGCAACAAATCCAGGAGGCTGGTCCTTATCAACAGAGGTAAGACAATCATCCGAAGCATATTTGCTGCCGTGCCAATTCAGGACTTGAGGTCTTTCGCGTTCGGGTTTGGTAAGTCCGAACCTGCCCCTATTCAAATCCCAGCCCGTGACCCGGCAGACACCCAGGATCGGGGTTCAGACGAGAATCTCTGCGTTTTCCCCTGCTCAGCCCATAGCCCTAATTGGTGAAGACGTGGAGTGAACTTGTGTCATGTAGTGGAACTTGGTCAAAGCACTTCAAGGCCTGTCGTGTCGAGGTTCAGCTCGAGCTCAGCGAGCTCAAGCTGCCCAGGAGGCTTCGGAAGGGTCTCTTAGGTTTCCGGTCCACTCAATTTACTGCATTCGGACCCTGGCATCGAGCATTTGCAGAAGTTGTCGACCTGGTTCGGTGTGGAAGGAGCTTCTCCGACAGAATGCGGAGCTGCGCGCCGAGCTGCAATCCGCCAAGAAGGCGGAAGAAGTGCTCAGCGCAGGCCATCGCAGGCCAGCCATATATTCAGCCTGCTTCGAGGCGGCGTCGTTGCACGTCCTTGGCTGAGTGCGGACAGCAGGCGTGTCTCACTGTGTCACCAATCACCATGCATGTGAGTACAGGTGCGCGGGGGTGCCACAGTGACAGATGCACCAGAACGGGCCTCAGGACTGACTGCAGGTGGGCAAGCGCAACGGTGCAGCCGCTCGAAGACGATGCGACGAGGTGCAGACATTGCTCCAGTCGCTGGAGCAACTTGAGCCCCTGCTGGTACAAAGCTCGATGCTATTCCAGATGTCGCTTGCAGCGATGTGTTTCTATAGCCATTTGAGACGTCTTACTTTGCCAAGGCTGCCATGCCGGCTGGTCCTGGTGTCATCGAGTTGCAGGAAGAGGTCCACTCGTGACATGTGGTGCAGAAGCTGCACTTTTGTGGGTTCCAGAGGCTTGTGAGGCATATGGGCGCTTACGAGGAGCTTTGCTGGAGGCTCACCCTTAGATCCCGCAGTCAAGATCCCTGCGACAGAAACTGCTCGCTTCCCACAGGCCGCAGCCATTCCAGAGGTGCCTTCTTGGCCAGGACCGGGCACGTTTCGGGCAGCGAGTTGTTGTTCTTGTTGTTGTGTTGAAGTAAGACAGACGGAGGCCCCGAGGAGCTGTCTGGATGCCGAAAAAAACCTGTACACCAAGTCTAGCCACATGGCACTGAAGCCCAAACTGTCCCAGACAAACCTACACCCCTGAGGGTCGCCGGTTGCGAACGGGCTGGTGGCAAAAGCAGCTTCCCTTCACGGCTGGGGATGGGACAGTCCTTTCAGCGGTCACTCGGCGTATGGACCCCGACGTCTCGCGCCATCAGGGCCCCTGCCACGTCGAGTGCCCTTTGCAGTTGGCTGTCCACGGTGCTTCGGTTGTCGTGGCGACGCTTTGGGCGTAGCAGGCCGTCCCACTCTGTCTCGCATCCGTCTCTTCGTTCAATGTAGGTCGCCCCCCGCCTTCGCCACTTGACGACTGCTGCTCCAGTGCAAGTGGAATTTGAGGAGGTTCTGTTGCAGGCACGGCCTCGTCACCCGGCAAAGGGGTACAAGGCTCCTGGTCGTCACCAGTCCCCACGGTTGCGCCCGAACCCTTTCCCTTCATCTTTCCGTTCCGCAGTGGCAGCAGCAGAAACTGCCGCCCTGCGGCGCCGGCGTTCGATTCTCCGTCTATCCACACGGGATTGTCGCAGTCTCTCCACCAGCTCGGTCTCAGTCGCTTTCTCGCCGTCTGAGGTGCGTTGGGCAGCTGTCGCGTCAACGGCGCCTTTACAGCATGTCGCGCGGATAGCAGCTCAGAAGTGCAGCGCCATCGGTCGGGTCGCGGGCACTTTGCCATTGTGGGTACTAGTAGCAGCTAGTTCATACTACTTGTAGGGGAAAGCCAGCCCTAGAGTGGGGCGGCCCGGCAGGAGACCCAGGCAGGTCTGCAAGCTCCTGGTCTGGCCGCTGCCCCACCTTCTCTGTTCTCGTTTTCGGTTCTGGGCCGTGTTGCCCAGAAAGGTTCAGAAATGCCGTATGCGGCAGCACCATGCGCTGATCGCTGGTGCCTCCCTCAGTGCAGATTCGGTTTTCATTTACGGTCTGTCTTGTCTCAACCAGAGACATGAGGCCTAGAACGCAGCTGGAGCCGGTCGCACGGCCAGGCCTTCCCTGCCATCGCGGCTCATGCAGACAGTCATGCACAACAGCCGATCGCAGAGTTACATCCCGCATTGTGGCGAACACAGTCCACTCTGTTTCATGACATAGAAGTGTGATTGTTGGACAGAGAGGAGCCATGAGGAGCCAACTCTGGCTTTGCAGCTGAGCGATGTCGTAGGTGATGGCGGCATCTGCATGACATCCGCGGAGCTATCAGCTTGAAGTTCAGCATTGGCTTGATTTAGCTAGACAATGCGGATGTGTCCTCTTGCGACATTGCACACCGCCTCGTGACATGGATGTCAGCCTTTTGTTGGTACGTGTCGAGACTTCAAATTCAGATTCTGGTGAGCTGAGCACTTATTGTAATCCGCCTAGAGATGCAGCAGACATGGAGCCATGGAGTCTCCCTTGCAGATCCTTCAGGCTTGGGCAGCCTGCAGTGATGCTTGTGCTATCTCCTGCTTGGCTGCTTGAATCGAAGGTTCTTTAATTGGTTCCTTTGTGCTGAAGCTATTTCAGCGGCATTGTAGCGTGATGTAGCGTGTTAAATGTCATTCCGAGCGCACCGCGCACCGCCCGCAAGGGTCGAGCTGCCCCTGTGCAGCGCCCGAAGAAGCCGAAGCCGAAGACCGAGAAGACCGAGCAGGCAGAGAAGGGCCGCAGTCCACGACACGTCGCGCAGTGCGCCGTCAAAGTGACCCCCCACCCGGTACGAGGTGTTCGCTCCGCGGATCTTGCAATGTGGCAGCTTGGCGGATAGACTCCATGATGTGGTGATGCGTGTCGTGGCTGTTGGCACGGAATTGCAGCGTCCTGCTAGGAAAGACACGGAACTGGCCGAAGGAGCCATGAGTTTTGCAGTCAATTGCTTGAGCGATCTTGCTCTGAAGATGCCACGCTTTCCTATGACAGGCTGTGGCTCTGCTCGCAGAGTCTCTCCAATGCCGTGTGCCAGCAGATGTCGCCTGAGTCTCAGCCAACGCCACACCTCTCTTATCGTCGTGCCTTTCATCTTCTTTGCTCCGTGAGGCTATGGAGTGCACCCTCATTGCTCTGGCTCGAGGCGGGTCAGAAGTAGCAAGTAAGTATATAAGAAGATCAGGTCCGCAGGAATTCGAGGCATTGCATCTGGAATTGTATTTCTGCACGTGGTTTGGGTCAAGCGTGTCCTCACTCCTGTTCATCATCCTACTTTGCAAGCTGACCTGTGCAGGTGACCAGTGGCAACGGAGCCTCCTGTTGCTGGTGCAACTGGAGAGGGCTGCTGCTCGAGGCGCATCATCTTCACTCTTGGCTCTTTTGCCGTTGCATTGGCATTTTGGACTATGACATTCAACCACGTGCCGGGTGCATGCCATCGTTGCACAGAAATGGCATCACAAGGAACAGTGACCCTGCTGCTTTTCTTGCACTTATCGCCACTGCTGGCAGCTACCAGGTATCGCGTCCAGCCCTGCACACTCAGTACCCCCTTTGAAAGGCCCCAGCACCCCACTCTGGAGTCTGGAGGCTCTCCCAAGCCTCGTCCGGCCATCTACACCGCAGCGATGGGAGCCCTGCGGCAAAAGGGGCTCTGGGAACAAGCCTTGGGCTTGCTTTCCACGGCCGCAGACGGAGGCCCCTGCGAGCGGCCGCCTTCCTTGCTGTTGCAAGCTTTTTCCTTAAGTAATGCAACCATGACTTTTAGCATGACGTCTTGAGTATGACTTATTCGGCTGGTGTACCCAGACCACCATGGCAAGACGAGAGCACTCCTTGTCAGTGCTGGGCTTCCACAAGAGCCGCTACCGTGAGCTGTCAGTATAGAGTGCGATTTAGGTCTTACTTGTAGGTGGGAACAGATCCAGGCATACTGAGGAATGTGTTGCTGTTGTGCGAAACCTCATCCACGTTCAGAGATTTGGAGGGAAGATGTTCCCGGACCAGGCGTGGTGCTGGATCTGCCCATCATCAACACTGCCATCGGCGTGTGTGGCTACGGCCTGCAGTGGGAGCGAGCACTTGAGCTTCTGGACCAGCTGCCGTTGCAAAGGCAAGCCATCTCCCGGCCTCCCCCGGCCCAGTCTGTTGCCTCTGCGAGGCTTCAGCCGAGCATCTACAGCTACAACGCCGCTGCGGCGGCGCTCGGATCAGCGAGGCACGGAGAGGGCTCCGGGCTCGCTTCGGTTTATCCGAACCGAGGCTGAGTTGAGGAAAGGGCTCTTATACGTAAAGTTTTATAACGGCCCGCCGTAGCAGTGGGAGGCAGTGGGAACACGTCTTGGCTCTTGCGGAGACGATGCTTTGCCGGGCTGTTGCTCTCGATGATGTGCCCTGGCTCCGAGCACGCTTGGAGCAAAATGCTTTTTTTTAATTCTGGATGTGTGCTGAGGCAATGCGAGACTGTGTGGAGAAATCAGAAGATGCCAGGGCCTTGCGCAACAACTCACCATGAAAAGGGAGTCTTGCATGCTCTGCAATATTTCGCTCACCTATGGCAAAAAAATCTGTGGCACTGACCACGACCACTATTCGCAGGCGGCTGGAAGGCTTCGTTTTCCAGTCAGCATGACATATATCTGCCACAGCAAAGGGCTTTCATCCAATCCGCAGTGGCTGCGCAACGAAGGGGTTCACTATTTGGCAGCCCAATGCCCCTCACACGACACGTCATGCACAGGGCGAAATTGAAGCTGTGAGGTCTCATTTTGCCAGTGCCAAGGCTCTTGTGCACAGGGGTGATTCAGGTAAAGCAGGAACTCGACTGGCTCGATGTGTAGACTTACACTGGTCTGCCGAGCTCGAACCGTTGCACGAATTGAGGGGAGGAGGAGGAGGAGGAGGAGGAGGAGGAGGAGGAGGACCTGGATAAACAAACATCCACCAGAGTCAGGGATCATGTTCGGCTGCTCTTGGGGAGAAAAATGCACTATGGCGCAATGGCGCAATACCACAAACTGAACCCGTCCACCAGTTTCAGCATATGTTCCGTTTCCGCGGTTTGGGCTTCTACTGAGTTGGTGTGGAAACCCTATGTGGTGCTAGCTAGGCTCCGCCACGGAAAGTAAGGGGACTTCAACTCCACAAAAATCCTGGCCGGAGCTGACAGCAAGACTGACGTAGTCTCATATCCGGCAGTGTTGCACCACTTCGCCGAATTCAGCAGGATGTCTTTCTCAACAGGCCGAATGCGTGTATTGAGCGGACATGATGAATCCAGTGGCCGCGGCACGTTTGGGGTGATGCGCGCTCGCAAGATGTGACTCCCCAGGTGGGGCGCAGACAAATGCGGATTGACGCAATGGACGTCCTTTCTGCAAGCGATTGGCGGGAAGCTTTGGCCAGCCTGCGAAGTCTAGGCAGGAAGAGCTCGCGAGAGACGAGGGTAGCAGGGCCCAGGGTAGAGTGACAGGGCTTGTCCATCTCTGAAGGAGAGCAAGCAGTGCAAGCTGATGCACGGATGCACAATGCCGTCCTGGATGCTTGCTCTCGAAGCTCTCACTGGGCGGAGGCCGATCGGCCGATGCTGGAGCGCTAGGACCTAGGAATGAAGTTGGAATGGTGGTTCCCTTTTAGTGTGTGGAGCCGTGCCCTCCTGACTCTTGAGAGCTTTCGCATTGAGAGGCGCTGGCGCACTTCGACCGAATGAAAGCACAAGTGAGACCCACTGCCGCCTCTTTGACGAGCGTGATTGCTGCGATGGGTGCTGCTAGGAGATGGTGTGAGGCAGGCACCCGCAGGTTTGGACGTTGAGTATCATTCGCCTACTCAGAAGTATTCAACACCTTTGGGATTGGATGGATGGTGAGTGCAGATTTCATGTATCGCCTGTGTGCTGTCGCAGAATCGTTACAACCGTGACACCATGAACGAGCTTGTGCAGGCTCTACACATGTTTTGGCAGACCAGCCAGAGTGGTGAAGACGGCTTGTCGGTGGAAGTGGACCCCGTCCTTTGCGGTGCGATGTTGCATGCTCTTCGAAGTGCAGGTCGGGGACTGTGACCGCGGGGGGGATTATGCAATCTCGTGCCACAGATTCGTAATTCAAGCAGCGGCTTCTGCAGCTAGCACAGGAGACATACTTAAGTTTGGAAGCCGGATCTTCAGTAACTGTGCATGTGCTTCTACGAGGAATTGTGTCGTGTGGTTTGGTTTTCTGGCGCAGGCAAGTGGCCACACGTGCTTCATCTTCTCACAGAGATGTCGGCAAAGCATCGGCGGTCTGGGCTTGATCTTCCAAAATCGTTCCTACCTGTTCCAGACAGCAGGTGCTTCAACGTTGTCGCCTGGCCGCAGGCTTTCCAGTTTTGACATCGCGGAATCTTGAGGAGAGGGCACAGTGCGTGTTTAGGGTTGCAGGCGGGTAGGTAAGTGAAGGGTGAGCCGAGCGAGTCGTTGGAGCAAAGCCCGGTCTCCCCAATGCCCCGATGCCGATCCAGGGATGGGGAGCACAAGCAACGGGAAGACTCATGAGCTGAGGCTATCAGCGCCTGTGCAGATGCCGCGCTTTGGCAGTCATCGCTTGCGCTATTTCGATACATGAAATGGAAACGGCGAAAGAATTCAGTACCAACTGCAGCGACTTTCAATGCTGCGATTCAAGCTGCGTGCTCAGGTCGAGTCAACAGCAGAGTGAATTATATGCCGCCTTGAAAGTTGAGGCCTGTGGTCAAAGCAACCACTGGCAGCATGCCTTGGGCTTGCCACATCCTTACAGTAGCCAGGACCGAGCAGTGCATGTACCAGCCATTGCGTGATCAGGAACAGGCTGAAAGTATGGCTTGTATGATGTAGTTATATTGTTCATGTTGTCGACATTGACAAGGCAGTCGCAAGTTTATCGTCATTTTGCACTGCAAGGTTTGAGGAGTTGCCGCGCCATACCCTTCGTGCAAATGAGGCCGCCAGCGAAGTACACCAGCTTGAGAGACCTTTACCGCACTGCGATGGATATCAAATATTGTCCAGGTGACATACCTCTCCCTCATGCAAGCTCTGAACAAGGCAGAGGCAGCTTGCTGGTCCCTGCTCATCTGCGGGAGTTCTCCCAATTGTTTGCGGACAGCATCTCTGTTGGGTGATGCCCTGACAAAGTAAATGCAGCACAGCGTGGAGGCGGATCAGCTGCCACGGATACTTCGCCTACTCAAGGAGATGAGGTGCGGCTCATCTGCCCGGTGAGACTTGTCGGACCGTGAGTTCCCTGAGATGCCGTTCGCAGGAGTCACAGCATGCAGCCCGGCGTGACTGTCTTCAGCGCCGTAATTGCCGCATGTGGTGGCCAGGCCTCAAGAGGGTTTCAACCTGGCAAACCTCGTTCCCCCTCTGCCCGGCCATGCACCGCTGCCACACGTGCCGTTATGCCGCAAACAAAAGCAGCGGAAGCTCCGGAAAGCCGAGGGTGAAGATCCCACTGGCTTCATCACTCACATGATTCCGACACTAACTAGTAACTATTCACTAGTCAAAAGTCCACACAAGGCTAAGATAGGCGAAGGCAGATCGCCCTGCTACCACCTTAACTTAAGCTTTGAACGATGGGACAGTGGCACAGCATGAATCATGCTTGCACAGAAATGCACTGCAAAGTACGTGGCGGTTCATGCTTGGTGATCACCAGTTTGTGCGTCAGGGCCAGTTCGACATCATAAGCAAATTGCTCGAGGACGATGTGCCGGTGCTTTGGGGCCATGCAGTTTGTGCTTCTCCTGCCTGCCGAAACTCGAATACGTTCTAGACGGTATGGATCAGGACATGGTCAGCATCAGTACTGCTCCAAACACGGTCGGTCTCTCACCTTGTGCCAGCCAGTATCTTTTGTTGCGGAAATGCAGCCTTCGCGCATCCATCTGCTTCGCCTAGGTCGTGCTCAACACCGCAATGAGCGCTTACATCGACTGTGGGCAGTTGGAGCAGGCACTACAGACCATATCAGTCATCCTGCGAAGCCCAGAGAGAGGAAAGCGGAGTTCATGTGATTTCGAACGATCTTAAGCTCAGCGCACAGAGTAGCTACCCGCTGGACTGACTTTGATTGCGTGGCTTCTGGGTCGGCACCTTCCAAATAAGAGTTCAGATGTCGCAGGCATATGACCTGTTCGGTGGCATGCCGGACTACTCGGTTCGGCCGGACCTGGATTCGAAGCTTGGTGGCAGGTTTGTATCAGGACGGGGAGTCTCAGCCTCAGCTTCTCAGACGCGCCAAGGTACAACACGATTCTGAAAGGTGCCTCAAAGGAGTTGCTTTGACGGCTGGGGACGGAGTGAAACCTGGCATTGCATCACCGAATCACAGTGCAGGAGGGCTTCTGGGAGTATGCCTTGGAGATGCTAGTGCCTTGGCTGCAGTTGAATGTTAGCTGTTGGCTACTGTACCAGTAGTGGACCTTTGCATTTCAGTTCGTTATGTTGTGATGCTGGCTTTGCACGACGAAGGAAACCATTCGAGCTGCCAACTTTGCTCCGGATGTGGTGAGCTACACAACTGCTATTCATGCTTGTCGTCGCGGATCGTGCGAAGCTCAGCTTGTCCGAATTCCGCGTACCAGCATTGGGAGCTTGTTCGGCTGGTGCAAGAGACGATGGTTCAGCGATGAATTAGGCTTCTCCCCTTGGTCCAAAGTCCAGGCTGTGGCGTGAAGCTGTTCATCTGTGCTGGGAGATGCGTCTGCACCTCAGATCCCATGAACGATGTCTGACAGTGATTTTGTGCACAGTGGGAAGCTGCTGTATGCGCAATGATCCACTTTGTGGAGGTTCACAAAGGGTTCGCCCCGACACGATGGCTCTTGGGGCCACCATAAATGTCTGTGCGGACTCGGTGAAAGTGGATGAAGGCTGACTCGCAATGCTTGCTGACGTTGGAGCATTACGTGTATAGTCCGAGCATCAGGCTCTCCTGCTCCTGGCAGCTGGGCCTTTGCTTTGGGCCTCTTCGGCGAGGCAAAGCTTCGGAGTGCCTCGACGCACTGCGCGGAGGTGATTCTATGCGTGACCAGACACCGGCTTGCGCGTCTTCTTGCGTCGGCTCAGGCCTCCCGCTCAGCGCACAGTTCCTGAACATGGCTTTGCAGGCAGGCAGTGCCGGGATTCTGCACCCGCTAGGGGATATTTGAGCTTTGAACTGGTTGTAGTGGTGGCGCGTAGTGCTGGTGGCACTGGTGCAGGTGGTGGTGGTGGTGGTGCTGCTGCTGCTGCTGCTGCTTCTCGCAGTGGTGGTGGTGGTGGGGGTGGCGGTGGTAGGGGGAGGAGTAGAGGCACCAGCAGTAGTCAGTAGTCGTGGCCACAGAGGTCGTAGAATCTGTCGTAGAAGTAGCACTGGTACGTGGAATTCGTCGCAGTTGTCGGTAGTGGTGGTGGGAGTCGTAGCATGGCTGCAGCATCGACGAGGGTCAATGCCTTGAGGCCACTGATTTCACTCGTCGGCGCATCTGGCAAGAGCAAACTTCAATACAGCAACAAATATCTCAACATGCCATGCAGCAACAGTACCGAGATAGTGCCCCTGTCCGTCTTATCAATCAAGCAAATCATGCTGGGATAGACTTTCAAGCCACAGAGTGGTAAAGCGCAACTTTGTTGATTGGAATGCAATCGGTGTATTCGTCCACTATCCTGGCAGAACTGACATATGTATTCGCGCATTCCTGTCTTATTCGGGTGGGGACTGCAGGGACTAGACCGGGCGACATTTGCACGCTTGCTTGGCGACGAGTGCGGCATTTCCCATCAGCACCACCGTCACCAAAAGCAACAGATCGCATGAGAGAACCAATATAACTATGAGCCTATTGTGATGGAAGGTCTGCTTGAGGATGGAACTTCAAGGAATTTCACAGCTTTTCGTTGCGAGGCCTGCACCATGGCCTCAGAGTGGGCTGCTTCCATTGGCTTGGTAGAGGACTTCGGAGGAAAGCCGCTCGCCATGGATTTAGCAACTTTGGAGGTTTCTGAGGCTCGGAGCTGCTCTTTGCATGCTTCTACCGGCCTTGATTCTTGGCCACCAAGCCAAATGACGGATGACTGCTAGGTGCCACTATGAGTTGTGGTGCCAATCATAAAGACTGCGTTGTTATGTGTCAATCCTCGCCTGGATAGAGGGTTCCCCGAATCTCCGCAACTACATGCAGTTTGGGGTTTCAGCATCCCCAGCCTTGCGAAGCTTCGAGGTTTTACAATCTGAAGCCAGACCTCGTCACCTCGAATCTGCACTTGACGGCGCTCTGCATCGGCCACCAGCCAGTCTCCTGAACCAAGTCGAGAGCGGGTTTTGCCGCGAGTATGGAAACATCCAGGTGGCGTGTGGCCATTGATGTCCTGGAGAACGAGTGGCCAGCGCGTGGCCACCTTCCAGATGCCTCGACCTACAACACCTGCAACGCCACTGGCTCTTGATTCGCTTGATGTGGTACCACTCGCAAGCTCGTGCTCGTGTGTTCTGTCATCGACATACCCGTCCGCTCTTCAGGCGGCTGTGTCAAGCGAGTCTTCGAAGCTGCAGAAGGCGATGCACAAATTTGTAGATTTGTCACGAGGCATGGATGCTTGTTTCGCTGCTGTTTGAGGTCAACCAGTACCTTCTCCGTTGTCTCATGGTCAATCAAGCTGGCCGGCCGTACAAGCCTGATTCCCACGCCTCTTGCTCAGCGGCTGCGTTTGCATGTCCTTGGGGTTGTTCTCCGAACATAGAATTGCCACTCTCAAGATGTCCGGCTTTGAGCCGAAAGCATGCCTGATTTGCAGCTACCTTGCTCCTGGCTGAACTGGTCGGGCGAATATGTGCAGCACCTTGGTGCCACAGACTGTCGGCCTAGGTGCTGGACTTGCACGAGATGAGTTTGCCCTCTGCCAAGGCATGTCCTCACCTTTTCGATGCTGCTTTCGCCTTTAGAGACAGACAGACTTGCTCTTGATTCATTAGACTCCAGGCTGCCGTCCGTGTGGCATTGGACGAGAAGTGTGGGTCAGATGTCGAGGGAAAAGCCTTGCTAATCCTCACGGGAAAAGGCGGGGTCTTTGCTGGTTGTCCGAGTCTACCTGGCTGTCTTCCTTCGACATGCTGCCTCTGGCATTCGATGAAAGCTTTCTCCGCTTGTATATGTCATACATATCATACAAATATGCATATATGTTTGTACTGTACTGCTTGTGCCTGGAGCATCACGTCCAGGTAAGCACAGTGCAGATGGAGCTCGCCTACAGTCGGAGGTAGCTGAACTACTGCAGGCATTGGCGACTGCCTCCTGTGTTCTTGTAAGTTGCTTCGCCAGCAGAGCAGGATGAGCTCCACGTCCAAATACGTCCGACAACAGACGGTGGTGGCATCTACGTCCCAAAGAAGGAGGCAAGTGGGTGGGAGTAGATTCAAGCTTCCTGTAAAATCCAATCTGGGCACATGGCACCGAGCTCGCTGCAGGTGCTGCGTTTGCGGCGACAGCATGCCCACACGCCGACGGATGCGGAAACGCAGAGAAGAACTTGCGTTCCCTTTGCTTCGACTGAAAAAATGAAAATGTAGCCACTAACCTGAGCCTTGCGAAGACAGTGGTCACGCATGCCGCCCGTGTTCGGTGCAGAACAGTTGTTGGGTCAAGCTCATTGGTCTGCAGCTGATTTACACATCACTCGATGTGCCAGGTGCTTACCAACAACGGCTTGGACCACACGTGCCACCATTGCCGAGGCATGATTTCAAACTTGTGTACGTCGTTCTCTAGCAACCATGGTATTCCCCTGTGTCGTCTGCATGTCTGTTGGCTGGTTGGTGGGCTGACTTGGCTGCAGCTTGCCAATGTAAAATCCGCGGGACAGGCCGGTGTCAGTATTGCCAGGAGTAATATTTTCAGCGCTACAGTGGTGCCACTGCTCACCGCTGACTTCGATAGAGTTTATGAATGCGTACTACTGTAGCTGTGCTTAGTCTGAAACGTCTCACTCACCCGGTTCTTGCCGTGATTGCTGACATACCACGGGTATGAAGTCCGTAGCTTTGGAAACAGTGGTTGATTCGGTTCTGTCGACCGGTGCTTCCGCTTCCGCGCTTTTTCTACTACCTCGGCCATGGGACTGAGCCTACTGCGTTTGCTGTGACTACTGTGACTGCGCCTTGGGGTGGTTACCGCGTGGTTGTGCTTACGCCTTGTCTCTAGCATTTTTGATGCCGCTCTGAAGCAGAATCTGAGAATGGCGCTGCAAGCCGTTCTACGTATGGCCACCGCGCAGCTAGCACGTATTGCAACACTTGCCACTGGCACTAGCATTGCAAGGACTGTTCGCATCACTTTTAGCACATGCTTGCTGCCTTCCGATTAGCACCATTGTCATTGCAGCAGCTGCTGTTACATCGAAACCAGCTGTGGTTCGTGCCTATCAAAATCCGCAGTAACCGTGGATACTCCCGTTGCCGCAAGAGCCCGTTTGGCATCTTCGGACTGGCATCCTGAGTGTTTTTCTTGGTGTTGTTCTGCGACATTCCGACTGGTTCTCTGCGATGACGCAATCGCCTCTATCCTTGGTATCACAACCGTCGGCTTTGTTGTGGTAGCCCGGATGCTGGAGATGATGCGAGCTGTGATGATTGTGCCTTTGCTGATACTGCGACGGCTCCTTGATGACTACAATTTTGATGATCCTCATACGGCGACATGCGCATGCCAGATCGCTGTATTGCTGCTAACTTCATTTGCCAGGTCTGGACCCTTCCGCCCGCATGGCCAGCATTAGCCACGGAGTCGTAGGGAAGTAGCAATGTGGAAACGGCCCAAAATGGGCTGCGACTTCCACCATGAATTTTGCTTTCGATTTTCTGAAAGCTTTCGCTGGGGCAGCTTGACTCGTCGGCGAAGAGTAAGACACGGTTATTGCAAGGGTTGCAAGGGTTGAGTATGGTCAACAAAGCAGCACGGGTTAAGCTGAAAATTCAATTGCCAGAGCTGGCCATCGATGCAAGTCCAAAACAAGCCTCCATCCAGAATGCAGACCCCACTCCCTGCAGTGGCACTTACAGGCCAGGGCTCGGATTCTTCACCTTGGAAGTATCCAACTTCGGGGAGGTACATAGAAGAGCTGAAAACGCTGCAAGACGAGGCGCCCCGCCCGGAAGCGGATGTACCCGCAGCATGGGTTTTCGACACTTTTGATTTTGGTCCTCTGCAGGTTCCTCCTTTCAGCGGAGCTCGTGCGCTGAAGATCATCGAGTCTGAGCTCGGCAAGCCGGTGATTGCCCCTTGCAGGGACCCGGCCGAAGGTCTTTCGCAGAGCTTGAGCTTTAGGCCAGCGAGCTCTTCGAGGAGTTCGATGACACGCCCATGGCAGCTGCGTCCCTTGGACAGGCGAAGTGCTCTAGCAGTGATTCCGATTCAGCTTGCCTTGAGCTCTTCCCTCTTTCGCGCTGCCCGAGGCTCTGCAGCCAAGCATGCAGTTAAAGCACTCGACTCGGCGAGAGTCGACCATAGGTCCACAAACAAAAAAACTCGTCAGTTTTCAGGATTCCCGGGTAAGCCTAGGTAGTAGCACCGCATGAGAATGTATGTTGCATGTCGTCGTCGTAAATGTCGCTTCCTTCAACAGCCAGCTGGCAGCAGAGTCTTTGTGAGATCGACGCACAGGGGGCCTGCAGCCTGCAGCATCAAGTTTAGACAAGACCGTCTATACATCCGCTACACTTCCGATTCCTTGATGCCGCCATGCCGGCCTGAAGCTGCACCTTGATGGGTGAAGCTGGCCGCAAGAGAAAATGGGGCGGCAAAGGTGGAAAGGGCAAAGCCGGCAAGGGCAAGGGCAAGGGCGGCAAGGGCAAGGGCAAGCGCAAAGGCAAAACCGGCGACAAAGGCCGGGAGAAGTGTCCTCGTGCACCCCAAGATAAGCTCTTGTGATCCTGTCCAAACAACCCGAAAGCCATCTATCATCTATCACTCAGCCTTCGGCGGCGTCCAGGGGCCCCTTGCAAGAGACCTCGCGGACCAGTGCCCACACGCTCGCTGCTTATCACGAGCCACACGCCGAGCCAATGCAGCAAGGCCAGAGCGAAGTGAAGCTTCATCCGCGTCGCGGCGTCCCTTGCTTCGTTGCTTCTGGGCCCTGAGGCAACACGAGAAGCGATCCGGTTGGTGGAGACATGGCCAGAGTTGTTCCTCTAGGGAAAGACATTCGAGCAAATGCGCGCATGCGGAAGTGGTGCTTGGATGTCCAGGAGGCAGCTTCAGAGTCACTTCGACAAGTGCCTGAAGCCAAAGAGGACAGAGACCACAGCGCAGTGTTGATAGATGCTCATCCGGTCACAGCGGAGGATACCCCAGCTGCGAGATCAGCAGGCGAGTCCCTGGAAGCAGAACTTCAGGCCTTGAGGCCCCCAGACGCAGCTTGGCTTTGTGCTGTGGGATCCTTCTTGCCTGTTCAGGGGAGACGGCTCTGTGAAGCCACAGAAGAAACCTCTCCACTTCTACTGCGAGGTCAGCTTTCTGTTTTCTTCAGGGTGTGTAGCGCTCACACTGCAGTAGGATTGTACTGTACTGTTACAACAGGTAGCGAATCAATCAGAGAGGCAACAGTGACATCCCCGGGAAACAGCAGCAAGTAATACACATTGGAGGCAAACGGCTAGCTTAAATAGTCACAAGAATGCTGCCCACCCCGCAGCAAGAGTATTTTCATCGGAACCACAGGAGTAGCAGCCACCGGAAGAATGGAAGGAGTGTTCGATATTAACAGGACAAGTAGTAGTAGAAGTCGTCGTCGTAGGCAGCAGCAGCAGCAGCAGCAGCAGCAGGAGCAGGAGCAGGAGCAGGAGGAGGAGGAGGAGGAGGAGTAGTCGTAGTCGTAGTCGTAGTCGTAGTCGTGGTCGCAGTCGCAGTCGCAGTCGCAGTAGGAGTAGTAGTAGTAGTCGTCGTAGTGGTAGTGGTAGTAGCAGTGACAGTAGCAGTAGTAGTAGCAACAATAATAATAGCAGTGGTAGTGGCAGTGGCAGTTACAGGATCAGCAGTCAAAGTTGCAACATCATTGATCTTTGCATTTCTTGGGAACGCTTTCGTTCAATGTGTGTGTGTGTATTCGTTGAAGCAGGTCAGTCGTGGTGTGGCGCTCTTGTCCTACCCTGGAGAAGAGGCTTCAGAATCGATACCTCACGACCGTGCTCGGTGCAATGACTGCATTCATGGATCATATTTGTACGTGCAGCAGGATTTGAATGCTCCTTCTCCGTCCGTGCTGGTGCAGCGTGTTTTCGCTCAGCAGCGCGATGGTGGGCACGATGCGCAGGCGTGGGCAGCTAGAGTTGAGCACGCCGCACAAGTCTTCGGCAATTCTGCATGCATCGGTGAGGCAGCGCGATTTGTGTGTCGCATGGCTCCGCTGGATTATGTCTGTGCACCTCATTTGAAGAACTTCCAGGCAGGGTTGCCAGCATCCGGATGCGTCAGGTGACTTCTCTCTTCATGCGCTCACGGGTCGCTCGAGGCAGCTGCGGCCGCGGTCCTTCCCGGGGCTTTTGCCAAAGCCAGGGATGGCGCGGTGCCTCGGCCTCCAAGGATTGCAGTTTGCAGGGAAGAGGACAGCGGCTAAGGGCTGGTACTTTGCTTTCCACAGCCGCGCGATGGGCACCATCAAGCGCGATGAAGCGATGAGTGTGTCCTCGACCCGGCCTCGCCGAGCTGCAGTTTCAATGCACATTTGACTTCGAAGCAGAGCGGAGAGAGTCCAGAAAAGAACGGTGACTGACTGCACTTCTTCAGTTTCCAAGAGGTTAAAGCAAGTGTTGGGCCCCTTGCCGGTGGAGCTCTCCGTGTCCGATGCAGAGTGCCCCGGCCCGGGCGAGATGTCAGGTTTTCGTTGTCACCTGTTGCTCGCGCCTTCTCATCCCAGGTACATGGTTGTGATCGAGGTGTGGGTGACTGCCTTCAAACTGGTGGCCATAGCTGTCGACTGTATCAGTATCTGTTTGCTTTCTGTGCAGGTCAACCCCGTCCTTTGTGGTTTCTCCGTTCTGCAAGATTATGAAGATCTCCTCCATGAGTGCAATTTGCAGAAAGCTTGCGAAGTCTACGAGAACAAGGCTGGCACAAACTAGAGGGGATGTGCACTCGGCAGCCCTTGCAGCACCTGGTGGTAGAGCCGAGAGAACTGAACAGATGTCAAAGAACGCTCAAAGGCCTGTGACTGCGACTTCGAGAGTGAGGATGAGCCAGAGGACGAAGACGAAGACGGCGAAGACGGCGAGGATGACGAAGATGAGGACGAGAAAGATGGTACTCCTACCGAAGTTGACACAGCCGAGGCCCAGGTCCAGGAAGCTGGCAGCGCGCCAGAGTCATGACCGCTTCGGCCAGAAACCGACGCAGAAAAGAAACCGCTACGTTTGGAGGATGGCCGTCAGCAAAAAGTGGAAGTGGCTGAACCTAGCGTGTGGCAGGTGCACAGAGCCAGGACGAAGGATGGCAAAGAGCTTGCCATCAAGGCGGCCCCCTGTCAAACAGACCATGTTTCAAAGGAGTCCTGCAGGAGTTCTAGGCCTGGGCCCCTCATATTAAAGCCCCAAGCCTGTACGCGAGATCCAGCGAGACAAGCTGAAGGAGATGTACGATCTTGTTGCATTCTCAGGGCCTCCCCAAACTCCCGCAAGGGCTCAACTCGAACGGGGAGGGTGGCCCATGGCCAAGGATTTGGCACAGTTTGACAAGGCAAGGCGCTCTGAGCTTTTTTTTGGTCTCTAGGATCTGCAATTCAGGAAGGCGGCTGCGCAAATTGAGAGTACTAAGTGCGGTTTGCACTCCAGCGCAGATTGCTGTCATGCTGGACAAGTACAAGATCGGAGTGGAGGGCGCTTCGCAGGCGTTTTCTTTCGCGAAGCAGTCCTGGGCCTACTTTTATCACCAATCGCTCCAATTGGTGCAGGTGTGGGTCGACATGTTCGAGGATGCCAAGGTGCGGCGCAAGCTTATGTTTTCCGAGTTTCCGTTGCAGAATCTCAGAAGCTTGCCCTGGCTCTGTGGTCGGACCACATGAACTCAAACTCGTTTCTTAAAACATCCGCATGAACATTGCGTGCAGTGTCTTGCATTTTCTAAGATCGCATGATTTGCGAGGTCATTCTTTATCGAGAGATCGACTACCTGGCAGAGGCACTGCCATGCCACAAGTCGAATCGGTGCAAGCTGCGCTGCGACAGGCTGAAAACACGAGACGGTGGACTGAGAATTTCAAGAAGGTGATGGGCACTTCGAAGTCTTCTTGGTTCGCTGTGTAGCTCTGATCAGGTCAAGTGGGTGACGAGCCCCGAAGTTGTGGATGAGTGTCTGGCTGTCGTGTTGTTACTGCAAGTTGCCGTGAATGACTTCCTCCGAGCCATGCCAGTCACCACCTCCAAAGTTCTGGCGCTCACCTTCATCGCCGGTACAAAGATCTCGGACAGTCCAAGTACTCCGCCTGTGCTCCAAAGTCTGGTTCGTGTTGTGGAAGTCACTCCAGGACCTGAAGAAGCTCGAGAGTCAGGGCTTCGACAGGACGCTGCTGGCCAAGAATCTCGCGCAGGCAAAGCGCCGGCCATCGGAAGCAAGAATCCTGAGATACGGACAACGGACAAAACGTCAACATCATCCCGCAAGGCATACCTCCTCCAGTTCTGCAAGTTCGGTTTCTTCAACACGGACTGCCAGCAGAGTGTACTTCACGAACATGCTTTCCATTTCGGGGCCAGTAAGAGTCACTAGACGTTCCGTGACACAGGACCCCCATCCTGGCAACTTGGCCGTGGATGACCAATATCCGGGAGGTCGGCTGATCTTCTACGATTTCGGCCAGGCCCAGCAGTTGGTGGTCAGCTCAAGGTACAGTACAGTGCTACATTGGCAGAAACTAGCACCAGATGTACATAATATTTGGACAAATCTTTATATTTCTATTACAGGTGTATGCAACTATGTACGAACACACATATGCATGTACATACTTATCTCTAAATGGCAATGTATTGCATGTCATGTTACCCCGAAGCCCTATATCGCCTAAACCCTGATGAATCTTGGAGTGGAGCGATACCACGGCACTTTTGAAGGCCTGCGAGCTCACCGACAGTCAAGCAGATGGCATCCTACAGGCCGGCTCGAGATGCCCTCTGCAAGTCGTTAGTAAGCTTTAGGTTTCGGATTTCGACCCAAGGTGATCCAGTCCATCGTGGACTTTGAGGCCAAAGACTGCGTGAAGGCAAAGGTTTTCGTGGACCAATCTGGCTTGCGCAATTGACTGGCGAGTCTGCTCGGAGGCCATGGACAGCTTGGGCTGCCTCAAGGAAGGGACCGACTTCAAGGCTACTCTTACTGCCAATCCGGTGGACCGGGGCAGCCGAGTGGCGAGCCAAATATCCCTCTCGCAGGCCGTTGAAGGTGTCGTCCAGAAAAACTTTGAGACGGGCAAGGCATTGGGAGAGGCGGCCGGAATGAGATGTCGAAAAAGCCAGTGGAGCAGGTGAAGAGCAAGCGGAGCAAGCGAAAGCGCGAGCTCACAGAGGAGCCGAGAGCCTTGTACCGGCGGCTGCAAGTGCCATTGATGCCGTTGACTCTGACAGGAGGAGCAGCAGAAGAAAGCACCAAAGCAGTCGGAGGTGATGAAGTGCGCCCTCTGCAGCCGGCGATGCTCGAACGATGCACATTCCTCCAGAAATTGCATTGTACCGAAGCAAGGCCTAGACCAGGCATTGAACTGAAAGGTACTTCCAGCTGCCTCCTGCGCTGGCTTTCGTGTCTCGGGCCATCACTCAGATGCAGGGCGTCGGTGTGATGCTGGACGAGGCTCCTGACTTTCGCAGGGATTCAGATCGTGCCGCAGCGCACACGATGCCGCACAATGCAGACTCTTGGCCCAATCTCCGCCATGCGGATAGGATTACGAGTTCATCGACTTCGTAGCCGATAAGGTGGGTAGCGTGCAACAGTGGAACTCTAGTGCTGCGCCCACCGCGCAATCCCCGACGATGTGACAGCTTCCTGACACGCTCGGGCAGGTGCCAGAGCTTCAGGTCGAGCGGGGCGCTGGCATCAGTGAACCTGGCTTGGTTTGCACATGTTTTTGCTTGCCTGTCACTGGTGAGCACTAGCGGACCAACCACGTGCGATGCTTCTCACACACCTTCGACGGACGTGAATGTCCACGGCCCGGAATCAGAAGGAACGCCTCTTGGGCAAGAGCTTGGGGAAGTGTGAAGGGCTGGCGACAGAACTGCTACATGCTGTAGTGTACTGTTCTGTTGTCAGAGCATTCTTTGTGATGAGGCCACGTACTGCCTACATCTTCTGGACACCGCACTCCCAACTCCCAAGACAGGCTACATTGCCGGGCAGCTCTTCAAGAACTGGGTGAGAGCATGACCACTCGACCTCCGATGTCTCCCAACTGTTTGATGATCTCTTATGCTTGCTGTGGGATCGACACACCAGCAGCTGCTCGAAAAATGGTTTGAGAATTGGGGGTAACACTGCAGTTTGGTTACCAACCTTGGCAAGCTCAGCTCAAGAATGTACAGGCTTTGACAGCCGGCCACCGGTCGCATGTGGCAAGGCCGCATGGCTGTGCCTACGATCTTGAACAGATGTTTTCCATGGGCTGTACTTGCCTTTCTTATTGGCAGAGCTAGGAATGTGAGCAGCCGGTCTGATAGTCAAGAAGTGTGAATGTGTTTGTGCGTGCGCACTGCAGATTCCAGCATTGCCAGCTCCAAGTTAATGGTGAGCGCACGGTGGACGCGCGGCACATGATCGCTGAAGCTCCATCAATTCAATTCTGCGAGCCTCTCAACGGCAAAAGCAACTCGCGAAGCCATGTCGTCCATGTACGAACCCATTGTCTGCTGCAAGTTTCGACAACAACAAGTAGTCATGACTCACTGCAAATCATCTTCCTACACATGGCTTGAGGACTGAAGGCTGCTGCACACCGCGCACCAGTCCAGATTTGACTTGAGAGAGCTTTCTCTGTTTCGCATTGCTCTCTGCGCTATGTTATGCCGGTTGTATGGTTCACCAGCGGAGTGGCCGTAGACATAGCAGTACGGCCTGCAGACTCCAGCCATGCGGTCGCAGCCTCGAGTGCTTGATTGTATCGTTCCTTTGAAGGCGGGGTGCTGCGGAATCATTGCTGAGGTTGTGGCTTCTGCCGGTAAGCCTGCTGGCGCCATCATCTTATTTCACAAGCCTGCACGGTGTTCCTGAGTGTCGGGGGTGGCGATGTGTGAATGCGCCTCCTCGCTGACAGAGGCTGGTTACCATCATGGGTCCGTGTGCTCGGATCCCTGGGGTGACGGCGTCAGCCACCCAGAAGAAGCCGCGGTTTTCGTGTCAGTAAGTGTCACTTCGGGGAAGATTGGTTGAGGAATTGAGTTGAATTGCCAGTGCTTTTTTTGTTTGCTGCATTTGCTTCACTTCCTTTCGGTCCCCCATGCGCTCCCATTCTCTGCAGTACACTCCGAAGCTCTGGGGAAGTGGGGATTTGTTCCAGTGAACAGCTTTCGGAGGCTCCTGGGTCTTCAAACAGTTCCCCTGGCAGCCCTCCAGCCCAGCACTCCTTTTATTTGGATCCCCTACACAAGTAACTTTTACCTTTTGCGATGCACGGAAGCAGGACATGCAAGAGCGGGAACCTGCAAGACAGAGGGGCCCTTTGTATTGAGAAGATGTTCTGTGATGCTCCGGAGAGGTGGCGCGTATTTCTGGGGAATTCAGAGGTTTTCAATTAAGTCCTTCGGCCACAGAACCTGAAACCAAACTCGTTCTGACAATGATGGTCATGAGGCAGTAGGGCAGTAAACCTACACACAAATGCCGAATGGGTCTGAGAGCCTGGGAGTGCTGTTTTTACAGTTAGAGCGATTGTCACCCACTATTCAATACTCGTTGTGGTTTTCCAATTGTTTGTTGGTTATCGCAGGCCCAGTCCCCCCAAGGCAAGCCTGACCCTTCTGATGCACCGTCCCGCATTCTAGGGCGCGGAGTTGTGAATGAGGAATTGAAGGGACACGCGATACTTTGAGCGGTGCAGGGCCGGGGAGGGCAGGGCGAGCAGGCAGGGCGAGGGTTGATGCTTAGTCGGTTGCATCTCCACATCGCGTGTGTGTCAAATAGTGCTGCTGGGCTCGCTTCGGTGGCAAGGGTTCTCAAACCAACATGCAGGCAGTTTGCTCTTCCTTCTGGGGCCGGGATCGGAGGGGGTGGGCGGCAACAGACTTCAGAGGTTCCTAAGAGACTCGGGGTGTGAATGTGACCCGGAGTCCTTGGAGCCCCGAAGTTGCATACCGCAATGTCGTTCTTGCGTTTCGAGTCCTAAGAACATGCCTTTCGCCAGTACCATGTCGATTCCAGTCGTTTTCTCAATTCTTTCAATCAAAGCAAGTATTTCAAGCTTGCCGTCGCCGGACCTGGCTGGTTCTTCGATGACGGACTGCCATAGTCTTGTGCCTCATCCGAGGCCACCAATGGTACGACCAAAGCCACGTGACAAGCGCAAGGAGCTTCAGAAGGGGTGGTGGGCTCAGTGTCCGGTGACAGACAGACACTCGGGCTGCAGCGTGAAGGTGGCTGCAAGGCTTATCAATGTGGCAGTGGCATGCACAAGTCGAAGTGGTGGTGATGGTGCAGCATTTCTGACGAAGCAGGCCGCAGAAAGCTGGCATCGTGACGCGCGTCTACACGCACGGAGCTGAGTGGAAGGATGAAAGGTGTAGTACATGGTCAAACTGTGAATGTAGTGCCACTGCATCAGGTTATTTTCAATGTGTTTGCACTCACGGCTTTTACAAGAGCTGCTAGATTGGCACCGTCATGCTGAACGACTGATCACTTAAGTGTAGTTTCAGATGCACAGTGGCAGTGACAGCTGCATCATTGGAACATCATCGTGCCAGCGGTTGTGACAGCGTCTCTTAGAGAGTTATAGTCGGGGTATGTCAACAGATCACGGAGCCATGGAATCGAAATTTAATGGCTACCTGTCTGCGCGCAGAATCTGCAGGATGTCGCCCAAGAAGCCGAACTCCGCCATCCGAAAGGTCTGCCGCGCCGGAGCCTTGAAGATTCAGACGCACCAAGCATTGCTTTCTGACGCGACGAACCTGGCAGACGCAACAGATTCAAGGCTTACGCATAAGGCGCAGCTGCCTAGACAATTATGCAGGCAGACTGGGCAAAATTGCTCGTTCAACTTCCAGCACAAGTGATAATGATTTTGTGCCACATCGTGGCCACGTTGGGTCAACCTTAGAAACAATGTGCAGCACTTCTGCCAGTCAAGTGCGGTTGCTTGCTTGGCGAAGTGACACTGGGTTACTTTGGGCAGACATTGTTCTCTACCATACCTATCTCAGATGAATCTTCTACATTCCATCTGATAGATGGAGGAGTGATGGAGGCATTCAGGTGCATATGTGGGGTGGCGGACCTGTCTCCACTCAGGTCAAGTTGTCCAATGCTTACGAAGTCATCGGCTACATTCCCGGGGAGGGCCACAACCTGCAGGACACACGAAGCTGACGGATGCGGCACTGCAGTTGACGATGGCAGCATCCATCATCAGGAGTTCTCTTCTGTCCTGGTGCGCGGAGGGCGCCGTAAAGATCTTGTCGGAGTCAGGCCAGCATGCAGTTTCCAGAGGGGACAGGTTGCTTTACTTGAAGCCGTGCGCAGACATCTTGTCGGCGGCCAACCGTTTCTTGACATCCGTCCTGACAGGTACACCCTCTGTCGTGGTGCCCGTGATTTGCAAGGAGTACAGGGCAGGATGTCATCACGAAGCAAGTGCGCCGCAAGATGGCTGCGCGTGAGACTGGAGGAGGTGTTGGGTCTGGAAAACTCATCTCTTGTTGTGGGCCTGTGCATTGGTGCAGGTACGGTGCCGAGAAGCCCGACGATAACTCGTGAGGAGTCGGCAGGTAGGGCAACAAAAGGTTGGCATTTGCCAGGGTTGCATCTGGAACGAAGAGGTTTCCGAATGCCGTGGGCAGATGAATGTGTTGTACTAGTGCCACTCAGAAAAGGCAGATGCCAATTCTCCTTCAGGATGTGCCTGAGAAAACCAAGGTGCGGCAGAGCCCCTTGCAAAAAAATCCATGCTGCCCTTTGCGCGACATGCGTAGTCTGCATAGGAGACAGGATTGATGTAGAGAAGGCACCTGCAGCTTCATTGGCTTTGAAGCTTCGAACTCTCAGCATAGCCGAACGATGGAACCGACGGAACGAGAAATGCCATACCGGGCCATACCTGCATGGGCAAATAGTGACTGTGGGAACGGCACTGCAGTGCAGTGTCCATGCTCCACACAGACTCTAAAACCTAAAGTCTGGCAATTCGTGTGATGCACCTGCTCACTTCTCAGTATCCAGCAACAAGGAGGTTTGTCGAATGGGGTATGGCCACTGCTCAGCTGCCGGCATGGGTCACCTCAGATGCGAAGCTGGTATACGTAGCTTTCCAGCATCTTGCCATGCAGTGGGACTTTGCGTCAATGTACCGAGCACGAGCCAAGGTATCCAGATCCACTGGAAAAGAAATGCCAGTGGTGGTGAAACATGTGTCTAATTCACAGAAATCTGCACCGCGTCTGAACACGTAACAGTTGAACATCGTCAAGATGGATGATTTGTTTCGTTCCATGGTGGGAGTCGAGATGTCACCGCTCATGAAGCTGACAGTCGAAACGTCCACAGATCCCGAGGTTACCATTGTTTTCGCTCGAGACGGTGCCTAGCCACAAATTCATCGGTCCAGTTGTAGAGGTGTGCCCTGGAGATCAGATGTCGCAAGATGACAACATAGTCGGACAAGTCATCTCCAGATGCGACAGACATGGTGTATGGCATCGACGACTGTGAGTAAAGGCTTGACTTGCTCCGCCAAGGCAAGTCCGAAATGCAAGTCCCCTTCAGTCAGATTCTCGGGGAGAAGAGTCCTCTGAAGCTTCCGGAGCTTCCAGATCTTGAACTCCTGGAGGCCTGCCGGCGTCTTGCACAGTTTGTGAGCATTTTTAACTACATCAACCACTTCAGAGGACGAGACGGAGAAGTTCTTCGACTCGATGGAAGGCTGTGCAACAACGTGTCCATGCTGATGCACATGCTTGTCATGGCCTCGGGTAGCCCGCGCACGACATGAAAGGCACATGGTTCGGCAACATGCAGAACCTCGACCCGAAGGCGGGCTTTCGAGAAAGTGAGACGGACAGGAGAAGGCTTGTGGGTTTCGCGAATTTGGATCACCTTGCAGGTGGCTTTGGGTTCCGACAAAGGCAAGTTTTCTTTCGAAGGGCCTGCCGCGCCTCCCTTGATGGAAGTCATGAGAAGCTCGGCAGCATTGTTGCGAATATGCTCGAGCTGCGTCAGCGAGAAGAAGCAGCGGAGGCAGCCCAGAGATGGATGAAGCTCCGCAGCGGAGGCTGGCTACCGCTCACCGACACCTTCGGAAACCGGCAGCAATTTGCAACTTCGACTCAGCGCTGAACAGGAAGAAGGAGGGCAAGAAACCCAAGGAAGCGAAAGAACTCCAGGAGATGTCGGATCGCTTCAAGTTTCTAGGTCCTACATAGGTGCATGGAAGAGAAATCAATGAAGACCATCCTTTTGCAAGATTTCAGCCTTCTGTAACAGGACTCGCCACCTACGGAAAGAAGCCAAGCTGACTTGATCCGTGTTATTTGTCTCTTAGGTTCCAGGCTGCCAGGTTATCGACTCCTTGGCCGGTGCTGACAGCCTGGAAGCTGAGGAAAGAGGCGCAAAGAAGCCAAGGACCAGTGTTAGGGTTTGGGTTTGGGCCCTAAACCCTAAACCGTCCAACCAAGGTTTTAGGGTTTAGTTCCCAGAGAGTTTAGGGTTTAGGGTGGGCACTTCATTGGGGTTACTCGCGTCTGCCTTCCAAAGAAACTCTCAAGTCAGTATCTCTGTTCCCGTCTGCAGCGAAGCAGGCAAAAGACGATGGCAAAGTTGCCAAAAAGCAAAAGACAAAGGACAAAGATAAATAGATGTGCGGAAAAGAGCTTGCTGACTGACTGGATTGTTCTGCTTGGTGTCGTTTCCCAGCTGCTGCTGCTGCTGGGGCAAGCTGTTCGTGAATCTCGGGTTTCTTGCAGCGTTGTGCACCATTCGTGCGGGACAGCAAGCGAAGCTCGGACATGCTTCATAGGACAGGCAGAAATTTCTTGCAGCAGCAACCCACCGTAACCCACCGATTAGGATACGCTACGCAGGCTTCCGAAAATAATCGAGAATCGACCGGGCTGCTCGCAGATGGCATGCGAAAGCTCAGATTCGGATCTTGAGGGGCTCCCTCCTTTGTTCAATGACGAAGTTCCAAAGCTGTCGATGGTGCCTCGGCCCAAGACGCTGGAACGTCGTGATGGCTGGAGTGTAGTGGAAGAGGAAACTGCGGATGGAGGTGCTTTACGCTGGATGGTGTCCGATGCTGCCTTGTCTCTTGATCAGACGAGGGTGCAGCTCACTGCTCCAGATCTGAAGGGTGAGCGCCATTTTTGTCGTGACAGTTTGAGGGCAGCCTCTCATCAAGTTATGGTGCTGGCTTTGGGTTTAGCTCTGGACTCCACTTCCGAGTGCTTGCGACATTCCTTGTGCGTCCTGGGTGGTGGTGGAATGGCATTGCCTATGGTTCTGGTGACCCAGGTGCAATCCGTTTGGGTGCATGTGGTGGAGCTTCACGATGTGGTTGCATGGATCCGTCTGGTATTTCATATGCTTCCCTCTATGGTCACCCGAAGTAGCTGCAGCCTCTCGGCCTAGGCTCATTGCTCACCCCCTGCCTGAGGTTATCGACTTTGCCGTCAGATACTTCGGAGCAAGCCATGAGCGACTTCTTGTGGAGCAGGGTGATGCGATCAGCATCGTGCAGGGGCCAACACGTCCTTGGCTTCCCAAGAGTCTGGCGGGCCTTGTAGTTGACATTGATTTTCTTCGAGGAACAGCCCCTCCGGAGTTTTTGTCCTTGGATTTCTGGAAAGCTCTTTGGGCGACGATGAAGCCTGATGCCATCGTCGCAGTCAACACCATTGGGGCTGAAGCAGCCGATGTCCAGGCACTCGCTCAACTCGCTCGTATGGCAGTTACCGTCGAGACGTTTGGGGCCACGGCCATAGGGGCTCTAGTTCTAGAGCCTGGACCTGGAGATCGAAGAGTCTGGACTGCCCTCATTCCGCGGCCGAGCGTGCTTCTACTCGCTCCGCCTCTCTTGCTCTCGAAGATTGCAGGCGCAGCTCGAAATCCCGAAGGCTTCGAGAGGCAGCTTCCAAGCTGGGTCGGGAGAGTTGCTGCTGACGTGTTGCGGGCCATGGCCCAGGGAAAGTTGCAAGCTTCCTGGTTGGAGCCGACAGCCGAACTCAGCAAAATCACGCGATTGCACAGATGCAGGATTGAGAGTCGAGTTGAGGTCTGTTCGGCAAATTCTTGACGAGTGAAACTTAACTTATGTGGGCGAGCTTCTGTCAGATTCGAATCTAGTGTCGCCTCGGTGTGGGATGAAATTTTAAAGCTCTGGAAGTAAACACTTCGAGATGCAAAACCGTAAAGATAAATATGGCATAGACGAGTGAGATGGTTCGGGATGGATGTCTATTGATGAAGAACTATGATGTGAGTAACATTGAGTCTTGTAACCTGTCTCATCATTGAAACAAGCGGGGCTTTCATATCTATCTATGATAGTGGTGCAGCCGGGATCTGTGAAAAACACTCAAATTTGATAAATCTCATAAAACAGGGGAGCCTCCCCGGGCCTCATGTTACCTTGCATGCATCTGCTCGAAAAAGGTCACATCGTTTTTTTCGATATTTCGAGTGCAGGATGTGCTGTAGAAACCAATATACGCGGCATATTCGTCTTCGTGCGTTCGCTTGAACGTCGGAGCCTCTAAGACTTAACAACAATGACAGTAACAACAACAAGAACATTAAAAACATCGATAGCTGCGCCGACAATGATGCATGTGATGGTCACATGACAGCCAAGGTAAGAATGACTGCTAGTACAAAAGCAGTTACGCTGTCACTCTCAATAGTAGTGGTCGTGGTGGTAGTATGGTGCCGGCGCTGCGAATAGAGATCACACTATAAAAATCGGTATAAATGGAAAAAAAGAATGATGATCACAATAATTATAATAGCGGGAATAATAATCTGATATAGTTAGAATTATTATATTGGTAGATAAGTCGACGCTCATAATAATATTAATAGTAGTATTAATGGAGACAATATTTCTATAATGACGATATCGATAAAAAAAAATATTTGGGTAATTATCAAAATTAAGATCTTTATTAAGATGTTCTAAAGAATTATAGATAATATTAAGAGTTTAGTTTGCCTAAAATTTATTCAGTTTCTTTTTATTTTTTGATAAAAATTCGTCGCGGTCGATAAGATATATTATTGATCGCGATCTTTACGAA